CATGGGAAATAATTTCAGCTAAAGAAACTTAGACAAAGGTTCTGTTTCATTAAGGCTTTACAGAAGAAATTGTTGTTTGTCCTTCATTCTTGAAGAGGACCATGATGTCAGGAAGGTGATGCTATGACTTACAAGTGAATTGGATTTAAGTTAGGGAGGGTTGTGCAAAGTCACCAGCCTCACTTTCTCTTCTGGAGCCATCTGGGTCCAGTGGCCAGATATACATCAGGACATTTGGAGATAGCCCCACTACAGAAGAAATAACAATAGAAAGAAAACTTGATGACCACATCAATTTTACATTGGCTAAGTTTTACTGTAGTTGGACTCTATTTTTTAATTTCAGCAATGAAAGGGGGAAAAAGATGTGGAGGGGAATTCATTCACTCTGCCTATTCCAGCTCTGTGAACAAACCAACAGAGCTTGAGTACTATTGTTTTCCCTGATTTCAGCTCAGAAGACCTCAAAACTTCTCTGCTGCCCTTGTGTCACTGCTTGTGTCTATGCCTATGGCAATTTGCTTTGTGGGCCAACTGCAAGATCTCTATAAGGAGAAAGTTTAATCGTTGTGGAATAGATAATCTATGACCTCTCTGTCTTCAAATTATTTGCAAAAGGATTATTGATATCAATCAATATATTTTTTCTCCAGGATCTTTATTGCTGCGTTTTAATAATCGTTCTCCCCACCCCATAAACTACCAAGGCCACGTTTGGGTAATTTAAAATGTTTCATGTCTCACTACTTCAACCCTGACTCACTTTTATTACCCTCTCCAGGGGCCTTAGAATCATATGCTGTATTTTAACAGGAAGCACAGAAATGTATTTTGTAAATAATCTAAATTAAACTTGGCTTTAAAATGCTGGAAAACCTCTTACTGATTTACAATTCTCCATACTTTGCTCTTCTAATATACCTTTTCAGAGGTGTGTGTGTATATGTGTGTGTGTGTGTGTGTGTGTGCATGTATGCTATTTCCAGAAAATCTGAACAGTAGTTAGTGAAAACAAGGTAACACGAAATAAAACTTCCTAGTCTCTCTGCAGCCCTGGGATCTTTTGTGCTGGTCTTCTTTCCTTGCACAAATCTATTGAATTTAAATTTGCTGGCCATAAGATATTATGGGCAGTGACTTAACTCAGATTTTTTTTGTACCTGGACCAATAGGTGGTAAAATCTCCCTCACATGGAGGGTATGAATAGAGTCAGAGAGCTTATCTCACTGGCATGAAAAGTGTTGAGGAATTCACCCCTACAGGTAATTTCTGATCCAATTTGACAAACATTTATTAAGTAACATTTTAAAGAGAAATATTTAAGGTAGTGGGACTATAAAAAAATGGTTAAATCTCATGCCTTCAAGGTGTTTATACTCAACTGAGGGATACAATATTTAAACATATAAATAAATACATTCTAATTTATGGAGGGAGAAAGCACTAACAAATAGGGGGATCAAGAAAACTCTCCTGTAGGAGATATCATATGTCAAACTCTGAAGGAAAATTGGGATTCTAAGAGATAAAGCTGAGGATGCAGAACATTCCATGCATGAGGGGCAGCTTATGTAATTTTTTTCTTTCTAAGTTCAACTATAGATATAACTTGTTTCATTATGCTTTGCTTCATTGTGCTTTATAGACACTGCATTTTTTTTTTTTTTACAAATTTGTGGCAACCCTGAATTGTGTAAATCTAACAGCACCATTTTCCCAACTGCATGTCTTCACATAGTGTCTCTGTCACATTTTGGTAATTCTCACAATATTTCAAACTTTTTCATTATTATTAATTCAGTTATTGTGATTTGTGATCAGTGATCTTTGATGTTACTATTGTAATTGTTTTGGAGTACCACAAATTATGGCCACATAAAACTCACACTTAATTAATAAATGTTGTGTATGTCCTGACTGCTCTACCAACTGGGCATTCTCCAACTCTCTTCCTCTCCTCTGGCCTCCCTATTCCCCAAGACACAACAATATTGAAATCAGGACAATTAATAACTCTCTAATGGTTTCTAAGTGTTTGAGCCAAAGGAAGAGTCATCCCATGAGACAAAGTTCATTTTTGCCTTATTTTAAGAAATTGCCTCAGCCACCCAAACCTTCAGCAACCAGGAGCCATCAGCATCAAAGCAAAGACCTCCACCAGCAAAAAGATTATGTGTTAAAAGCTCAAATGATGGTTATTTTTTTTAGCAATAAAGTATTTTGAAATAAACATACATACATTTTTAGACATAATGCTATTGTACACTTAATAGACTCCTGTATAGTGTGAACATAACTTTTATATGTATTGGGAAACTAAAAAAAATTGTGAGACTCACTTTATCGCAATATTTGCTTTATTCAGTATTTCTGAGGTATGTCCTTAAAGTCCCACCTTCTGCAAGAAGTCTTTCCTTATTCTCTTTTATGCTAGTCCTCTCACTCTGAGATTGCCACAGATTTATCAACTGTATACCATTGTTATTATATTAATGATATTATGTTATATTTTAATATACAATATAACAGTATTATAATACATAATAATAAAACTATGCTTTATTATACAATATTATTTAATCATATAATATATTATTATCAGATTATCTTGTGTTGTTATGTCATGTCATAATATAATAAATATCTTGTTTGTAAATAGCTGCTTGTGTATTATCTCTCTCATTAGACTGTAAACTTCTTGAAAGCAGGGACTATTTTTGCCTTTCTTTGTCTCCTCAGTACTTCATATTGTGACTAGAACATAAAAGCCGCTTAATAAATCCTTGACCTGAAAAATATCTGAGTGTTTAAATATACTACAAGCTCAGTATGATTTAGCAATGTGACATAATATCTAAAAAGCTAATTTTGGTTGCCTTGTATCTAGAATGTGCAAGAGAGTAGTTCTTCCTTGGTTAGACAACATACTATGCTCATTTCTAGGCACTTCATTTTATAGAGGATCTTGACAATTGCAGCACATTAGGTGAAGGTGACCAGAAAGGTGAGGAAAATGGAGCATGCATATAAGGACTGGTTGGAGGAATTGATTTCGTTTAGCATGAAGAAAAGATTGGAGGGAACATAAAAGCTGTCTCCAACTACTTCAAAGGCTGTAATATAGAAGAATGATTATATTTTCTGTTTTTGTCCAGTAACAATGGTGGAATGGATGATAATGATATAATGGGTAATAATTGTTATAGGGGTAAAGAGGTAGAGTTTAAAAGGCAAAAATATACTTCAGTGGGAAAAAATCTTTGAAACAATTCAAGCTCCTCATTATTAGAAGGCTTTGAGGTTGAAATACCATTTGTAGACATTTTGGACTTCTAAGGTCCTTCCAACTCTGAGATCCTAGAATTCCTACTGTTCATCCATAATGCTCTGTAATACTGGCCAAGGTTGGAGACCTCACCAGGGCAAATCTTTCGAATGCCAGCTGGACATCTTGGGAATTCAGTCCCCTCCTTACCTCTTACACAAGGATAAGGTGAAATGAACATCAGGGCTGGTATGGGCTAGAAACAGTAGGGTTAAGGAGTAGTAAGCTGAGAACAATGGCAGCAGAGATGGGTAGAACAGGGTAAAGATGGAGGCATTTCAAATATGGTCAATGTTTACTGAGATTCCCCTGGGATGGCTACTTTTATCACACAGTACAGACAGACAGAATGGCAAAACAGAATTGAAGAAGTCTCAGCAGGAAGTGCGACTTTCTCCCTTCAGTTTTGAAACCAAGTAGCTGAAGAATGTCTTTCTTTCCCTTCTTCCTACTGATGATCTTGTTCAGAGATTTATTCATGCTAATCTTCCATTGCTGTAATATTTAGTCATTAAGCTTAATTCCTGGTTGTGTCCACACCACGTTGCCTACACTTATACCATTATCCTTATTCTCTTTCCCTGAGAACCTTGGACTTTGCCTCAGTGATGTTGGACTCTGATAGGAGAACTTTCACCTCATCTTGCCCAGCCTCCACCTTCTGTTACATTTCTAGTTCTAGTTTTGTGTGTTGCCTTCCAATATCAGAATATAAGTTCCTTGTGAGCAAGAATTATCCTTCTTACTTGTAGTTATATCCTCCATAATTAATGAATGCTTGCGTTCTCTCTCTGTCTCTCTCCACCCCCCTCTCCCCCTCTCCCTTTCCCTCTTTCCCTCCCCTTCTCTACCATTTTGTTGAGTATGATTTTAAATATTGTCAGGCGTAGGGTAGCCTTGGGAGTGGGCTGGGAAATAAAGTTTTATTTTTCTCTCTAGTGCCCTAAAGTTCTGGCCTGGGAGGTTAAAAAAACATTTTAGTTTAATGAATGATCCCAAACAGAACCCTAAAACTTGAACATAAGGCTCACTTAGATTTCCCCTAAAAAAATGACCCAACTGACTCAGTGTCATGCAGTGATACTCCCCCAGTGGTGTTTCAATGCATTCTTTCTCAGTCTCATTTCCACATATTTCACTGTATAGATTGAAGAAATAGCAAAACATGTACCTCTCAAAGAGTATGGACATATGGTAAATTTCTCAACCCTGATGAACCTTGCTTTTTCATTCAAGAGTTCATTATTAATACCCTGCTTCTCACACCCACCCAACAGTATCATTCTAAAACCAAGGGTTGAGAGATCTCAGTGTCCACAATACAGCTAAAAAAGTAACAGGAGGGATTTAGGATAAGAATGTGGAAGACCTTTTTAGACAAAAAACTACTTAAGGATGCTACAATGAATTGTTTGGACAGTGGCCTTCACCAGGAGCATAAGCACAAGAAGGGAAGGTTTGGCAGTTAGAGGTCTTAGATTTAGGTAGAGACTTTCGGAGGCTAAACTATGTGATCCCTTGAGTTTTGGGATACTACTGTACATTACTAAAGCTCCAAGTACAGGACTTATTTTCTATGACCTTTCTTTCTTTCTTTTAGCATTTTGAATACGTCATCATGTTTTCACCCAAGAATTACATACGATGCAGCAGTTTTACTGAGCATGTGCACTGACTTCATTAACGGGTTAATTTTATTTAATTTCGGTTGCATAGTTTTCATAAAGCACCATTTACCCTGCTTGCTGATAAAATACATTTCTATTTGATTCAAGAGGCGGCCAAAAAGAAGGCAAACCTAGACAATGACATCCTGAATTATATTGGCACAATTTAATATAGTACTATTGCATTGAAAACATATACATCTATTATGTTTAATCTACTTAATATTAAGCATAATTTTACATGATATTTTTGACAGACAAAAAATATATATTTTAGAACCACCATATGCATAGGCCTGGCTAATAGCAGACTTACAATAAATTGGTTCCTAATTGCACATTATACCAGAGCAAATCAGCTTGAAGACTGGAAGGGAAAATGGCCATTTATATCTAAAATATTAACTCAATTCTCTGCATAAAAACAATAATCAAAATCCAACAACCATCATACTAGGTTCATTCCTTTTAAGGTTGTATTCAGTTCAGTCACATAAGATTATCTTATCTATACATATACCAAATATTTTGTTGGATTTAAACAATATATTGAATAGTTTACTTGGGCTAATCTTGAACATCTCAGTTAACCAAACAAAAAGCTTGATGTTATGCATCAGCTCTTGAAACATCTAGAAATATGGAAGCATGTCATTCCTAGTCATTTAAAAACATATGAAAATAAAGTATGTAGTCATGATAGGAATGCTTTACTCACAAGTAGTGGGCCTAACTCTCCAACACTTTAAATCACAGAGGAAATGCAGATCTGCTTTGAAAGAAGGAGTTCCGTTACCTAAGGGTTCCCAATACAATAAAATCACAGGTCTAGAACTTACTCTAACCTTACTATAGATGCAGATAATTTCTTAATTTACGAAATGTGTGTTCTAACAAATTTCTATTCAGATCATACAATTATAGATTTAAAGTTAGAAGGAACCCAGAAGGCTGATTTTTTTTTGTAAAGTGACTATTTCCCTAACAATTTCCATTATAAATTTGGAGTTCTGTTCCCATTGGAAAAATACTCTTCCCTATCCCAAATGGAAATTATATTGTAGTGATAGGTTTTAGATGGATACTTCTGTGACATGTTGGCAATTCTAGTATAACTTCATCATTATTTATTCTTGGAATTGCCCTTTCTACCCAGTAGTTCAACTTTTCCTTTGTAAACTTCCAGCACTTTGTTGCTTTGGGCTCTTCCCTCCTCTTTCTCAGAATCCTTCTCCTGGACCAGCAGAATTTCATCCATGTCTGGGGATTCTTTGACTTTATAACCTTAGCCTCTGAGAATGTTTCTCTTCTCTACATCTAACACAGTCCTTATCTTGTCTTATCAAATACTTGCATTGAATTTTCATTGTATCTGAGTATTTCTAGTGGCCAGTGGGGAGTGGGTCATACCATCCCACTTCATAAGTATTGCCGAACAATTGAAAATGTGATAAAATACAGCCTGAGGATCTGGAAATTCATGTGATAATAAAGTGATTAACTTTCCTATTCTGTTTACTCTGAAAGCTCAATTCTGTGCATAAAAGTTACTTAGAATGAAATTTATCTATGTTTCATTCAGTGCTTTTAGAAAATTATAAAGGAAATCCAGGAACTGATTCTTTTTTTTTTTTCGGGAATATGGATGTTCATATTCTATATTGAAAGCTAGATCAATTTGGATAATATCTGTCTAGGGCCAACACTCAATTATTGGGAGAATAAAATTTCAGGCCATAATGATTTAGCTTTTCTATCTGCTAATTGCTCAGTTCCCAACCTTAATTTTACAGACAACTTCTGTTACTACTGAAATGTTGTTGATGGACAAAGAATTTTAAGATTCTGAAATGAATGCATACAATTATACATATATACTAATATGTACACATATATTTTTAAAACTCCAGAAAAGGAGCAAAAATAACATAATGAGCAACCTCATGAAAGTTGTAATAACACCAAATGTTAAAATTGATGGCTTCTTCCTTTTGGCAGCAGGATTTATTTCCACTTTTCTGATTCTCTACTTTCATCTTGGCTTTTATATTCACTGGATTCTCTTCTGTTGTGATTATCCACTCAATGGAGGATGAGTTTAGGAGTGACTAAATGTCACAATGTGCCATGCGCCATTAGCCCAAATCCAAGGATAGGTAGTTTTTAGTCTTCTAGTTTTCCTATTATTAAGATGATTGCCAGGGATGTGAAATGCTGGTGGGAAACATTTAGTAGGATACACAATGATTTAATAATTTGCTTTTTAGTAAGCTTAGCCTGAGCTGTGCTGGTAACAACATTTATGTTCATCTGCCTTGATATTTCCTTCCAATGCCAACTTCAAAAGTAAAGCCAGAAACTGTTCTTTTTTCATGATGGCAAAATTATATTTACTTCAGGCAAAACATAAATCTGTATTGTTTCCCTAGCCCCTTTTGTTAAATTTCTAGCTCAAGTTATTGCTTCCAAGTTTTCTAATAATTCTCTTCTGCTTCTAAATATACTCTGTAAATAGATACTGTTGGTGGGCATACTCAGAGAACCAAAGTTCCTCTCTGACAGCAGATTTTGTTTGGCTAAAACCTTGAACATCAGAAAACACCCACTTGAAGATATTCATAAATTTACAGTTTGGGCTCAAAACATTAGGTTAGCAGCCATTCTTATGAAAATCCCTAACTGAAGAAACAAAAACTAAGTTACAGAACTGATACACGTTCAGCCTTCTATTTCAGATAGACGTTATAGGATTTTTTGAAACTTAACTTCAAGAACAATTTAGTAGCTAATTCAGGACACTTTTTAGAAGGATGACATTATGCTGTTAACTTAGTCAGTGTCAAAGAATCACTACTTATTTTTCTGTATGGGTCATCTCCTCACAAGACTTTGATTGAGATCATCAATCCCCCTCATCCCAGGGAGCCCCTGTAAAATGCATACATTTTGAAAAATACTCTACAAACCCCTTGCTGCTGTCTCCTTCCAATAGGAGATGACCCTATTCCTGAATATTTATAAAATTATCTAGAAATGTTATTAAAACAATAACGAATGTGGCAAACATAATTACTGATTTCATAGAAGGCTGCCCACCCATCCCTCTTGATGTGGCTTGGATTGGTGCAGTGGTGTTTAACTCTGGTTACACAACATCTTGAAGTCTTACTTATGCTTAATCTTTTCCCTTAAAGGCTGCATATCATCCTCTGTTGGCTATGTGATTGTAATACCCTGTCTAGGGAAATAGTATTTCATTTCACTGGAGTCATTGCAAGTTATCTTCTGTACTGGAGCCTTCTGGGCTTGAAGCAATGTCAAGGAGGGCCTCTCTGTTTGTAAAAGTGGAGCTAAGAGTCAAACTCTGCCGAGGCTTCACAGGTGCAAGCTCATCTAATTTAATATTTTCATTTTTGACCAGAATTGTCTTGTCCATATTCTCTTCACTGTGCCTGGCAACTACAGCATCAAGGAAGTCTAACTTGGGAGGCAGAGATCCACTTTCAAATAGGTATTTGGCAAGGTAAGAGACAGAGATATTGGTCAAGAAGGAGATGAACATAGCAAATGTTTTAAATGGGAATCTCTGGTGATAAATGCCATCTTCATCACGGTAATGACCAGGATATAAGATCAGTGGTTGAAGGTAAAGATATGGCTCTCCTCCAGTTATTCTGAATATAAGACCAAGCACATAGCCCATCATGGCACCATATGTATTGGTTCCCTTGACAAAAAGGACACACAAGAGTTGAGGAAAGATGATTATGTAAACAAGGTCAGAACTGAGATACCAGAGTCCATAAACAGATTTGGCTAATAGTGCCATTGCAGTAGCTGCTGCTCCAAAAAGAAACACAGTAATTCTCATAACCCAGACGATTTCCCTATCGGATGCCTAAAAGAAAAATTCACAGTATTAATGGATTGACTCATTTCAATTAAAAAAAAATCTATCTTCTTTTCTTCTTCTTTTTTTTTCAAATTTTGTATCTTTTTTTTTTTTGTGGTTCAGATAGCTTTGTACAAAAATAAAGTTAAACGACAGGCCCATGTCCAATGTACTAGTGATCTCCTAGTAGAGGGCCATTTCAAAGATCCTATACATCTTCTATAGTGAAGAGTTGGAAGAATACAGTTATGAGCTCATGTCCCTTTTATTATAAAGGATAAGAAAGGAGGTGAATAGCTTATCTGAAAGAATGGAGGAATGACCTCAATGTTCTTCTTATAGCTAATATAATAAGGAAAGATATATTTCACTTTGTATACTTTTTGGATACACTTTGTACATTTATTTAATTTAGTAGAGTGCATGAGCCCTGGCTTTAGGACTCCCTAAAAGCATTATGGCCAAGAGTATGGTAGGGTAGGAGTTGGAGAGTAAACATGCATTTGGAGAGTTTGTTTTCTGATCTCTCCATGCCCTTCAGTAGGGATAATCTAGCACTCCACTATGCAATCAAGGGAGCAGTTAGGTGGCACAGTGGATAGAGCACTAGTCCTGGAGTCAGAAAGACTTATCTTCCTGAATTCAAATCTGGCCTTAGACACTTACTAGCTGTGTGACCCTGGGCAAGTCACTTTGTTTGCCTCAGTTCATCTATAAAATGAGCTGGAGAAGGAAATGGCAAGCCATTCCAGTATCTTTGCCAATAAAACCCCAGATGGGATCATGAAGAGTTGGACATGACTGAAACAAGTGAACAACAAAAATGCTATGAAGTAGGATCAGCCTGTATTTTTTTGTTTCAGTGGCTGTGAGAGAAAAATCTTGGTAAAGCGGTATAGTAGAAAGAGCACTACACTTAGAGTCAGCAGAGACCTGTATTCAAAATCTGCCTCCAACACTTTGTGCTCTTATGACTATGGGTAAATTTTAGAATTACAGGTTTAAAAGTAGAAGGATCTTAGAGGCTATTGAGTCCAAGTCCCTTATTTTACAGATGAGATAAATGAAATATGGAGAATTTAATTGATGTGCTAAAGATTATATTGCTAGTAAGGGCATTAACTGTGATGTGAACCCATCTTCCTGACCTAAGTCCAATGTTATATCTATAGCCTTAGTGTCCTTATTTGCAGTATGAGTACAATAATACTCTAGCACCTATAAGGAGGATCAAGTGAAATGATATATGTAGAGCATTTTGCAAAGCATTGCATCAACGCCAGATGTTATTGACAGGAATGTGTATTTTCAGCCAGGTCAACTTTGTCAGAAAAGACTTAAAGTGCCTTACGTTTCCAGATTACATTTTATATTACTCCCCTTTACATATTTTATAACTTTACACATATTTATAAACTGGCTAACTTAACTTAATCAAGTTCTTCTCTGAACTCTATATAATAATAGCTAGCATTTATATAGGACATTAATGTTTGCATTTATAAAACACTTTGCTATCTCATTTGATCCGTACAATAACTCTGGAAAGTAGGTGCTATTTTACAAATGCAATTAGAAATAAAATGACAAATTTTATATCCTCATTTTACAAATTAAAAAACTGAGGTATACAGAGGCTAAGTTACTTTCACAGGGTAACACAGATAATAAGTGCTTGAGGTAGAATTCAAACTCTGATCTTTCTGACTTTAGGTCCAGTGCTCTATCCACTATGTCATCTAGCTGCCTCTATGTTCCATTTCCAGTATCGGTGATTTTGCACAGGCTGTGTCTCATGACTGAAATATACCCCCTCTTCACTTCTGGCTTTTAGAATATTTGGATTCTTTCAAGGCTTTGTCAAGTGCCATCTCTTACATGATAATCTTTCCTGATAATCTCACCTGCATATTGGATGACCTTGCTCCCTCTTCAAATGTATTACTTATCTGTTATCCATGCCATAAGCTACTTAAGAACAGGGATTTGTTGTTCATTTTCTCTTCATATCCCCAGTGCCTAGCATAGTGTCTCATACAAGTTGCAATAAATATTTATTGCTGAATATAAGTTTATTGAATTGAGATGAATTGTTGAATGTAACTTCAGGCTGCTTTGACTAAGGCACTTGGTCACTTTGGCTAACGAGACACTGCTAAGCAGCTTTGTAGGTATAAAGTGAAAATCAAGCTAAAAGAATATTTATACCCAGATCCTGCTTAGATGAGCTTATATCTATTCAACTGATTTGTCTCTATTAGTACTAATACCAATAATTACACACATTATGGTTTGCATTTAAATAATGATTCAACTTCAATAGGATAATGTCCCAACTTATGTTATGCCCTTAAATGAAATGGGAATCACACATTTCTCTTCAGGGAAAAGAAAGAGAGAATGACTATTTTTAAATTAGTACTTACATTTTGTCTGAATGATAGTTGGTAAATGTTTCGAGCAAACATTGAACTTGCTGATAGGATTGAAGAATCTGCAGATGACATGACAGCAGCTGATACTGCACCAAGGCCAAAGAAAGAAATATATACTGGACAGAGATACTGTAGAACAATGGGTAAAATCATATCTGCTTCTTGCCTTTCTATGGGTTCTGGAAGACCATATGCAGTCTGATTCCAGTCTGTTGGATTAAAATTTGTAAAAGTAAGATACATTATTCATTTAAATCATGAGCATATAGAACTGGAAAACAGCAGAAACTGAAAATATCAAAAACTGAAAACATCAGAAAGAATTCTCCCCCCATACTGTCACCAAATACCTTCACTTTATAAATAAGGAAACTAATTCCCAGTAAGATTATGGACAATGAAAGAGACCCAGCTGGAATTCAAATACAGACCTTTAGTTCTGGGTTTCACACTTTCAGGAAGGACATTGATAAGCTGAAGAATATGCAGGGGAGGTTCACTAGGAGTATGAAGGATCTCAATTTCATGTCATATGAAGATTGATCAAAGAAATATGTGTATCTAACCCAGAGAAGAGAAGATTTGGGAGAAAGGCAAGGGATATGATAACTGGCTTCAGTATTTGAAAGATTAGGACATGAAAGAGGGATTAGACTAGTTCTGTTTGGGTGCAGAGGCCACCCAATCTAGGAGAAATGGGTGGAATTTGGGAAGGAGCAATTTTAAACTCAATACAAGGAAATAATTCATGACAATTAGAATTATCCAAAAAATGGTCATTTGGGCTTTGCTTAAAGATGTTCAGTGAAGTAGAACTGATTCCTTCCCAAGGTAGTTTTATAGAGCAGTCTGTTATAGACCAAATTCTTTTCTTGGTATGGCTTGGACTAGATGGGCCTTCCAACACTTAATTTCAATGATTCTCTGAGACTATACATTCCCAGTGACAAGTCAAATAGCAGTAACTGTTTCTTAATGCTTTTTGGGTAAATACTGAGAGAATTTAACATGTATTCCTTGTTAAAAATGGGAATAAAACAATAAAGTTTTTTTAAAAAGTGGCTACTTTGTGAAGGTTATTTATTCTGTGTCTTGGATTATTATTTTTCTGCTTTTCCATAAGAATGAACTGGGACTTTGGAGACTGGAGTACCAATGGGTTGCTTGGGTGCCTGTGGTTGGACTCCAATTTCTCCCTGGCCTCAGAAACACTATCCCTGACAGTTTCCTTCCAGCCCAACCTTATCTTTGGCAGTAACTCATGAGTGGGCCCAGTGAGGCAAACTATCTCTCCCCATTACAAAAACAAGCAGACCTCTGTAGAATTTCCCTTGTATGAACTGGACTATCTTGTACCAGCTGAACTATCAAGTACTGATACCTACAATTACGTATACAATCCAGAGGTCAAACTATAGATGTCACCTCCTGAAACTATCTTGTTACAGATATAACAGACCAAAAATATGACCTTTACAAGCCCTCTCTTCCCTGCGCTTCAAGTAGTAAATGACATAGTATATTATCATCTAATTAGCATACTTGGCACATAATTCACTCCTTTTCCTATATAAGCTTTAGCATCTTTTCTGTTAGGTTTCAATTCCTTAAGGACCTCTGCCTGCTGTGTAGCATAACAATAAATCTTTGCCACCTTAACTCAAAGAATGCTTGAGTATGTGAATTCATTCCAAATGACCTCATCTTATAATCTGGTCTTTGAGGGGTCTCAATCTCTTACACTGCAACAGTACCAGGCAATATGGAATTCTAAAGCATTCTTTTTTTAAAAAAAAATTATTTTATTAATTTATTTTGATTTATCAACAATCACTTCCACATGCTTTTGAGTTAAAAATTTTTCTCCCCCTTCTTCTCCACCAACCTTCCCAAGATGGTGCACAATCTGATATAGGCTATACATTTACATTCCTATTAAACATATTTTCACATTAGTGAAGTTGTAAGTAAAAATTAAAACTAATAGGGGAAATCATTAGAAAGAGGAAACAAAACTCAACGGAAGAGAGAAAAAAAAAGAGATAGCAATTCAACTTCCATAGTCCTTTCTTTGGATGTGGATTTTTGGATTCATTTTCCATCACTAGGCCCCTGGAGATGTCCCCATTCAGTTTTCTCCAGAGGTCTATCATACCTAACTTTTCTGATGTTAACAACATATTGTAGGGTGATGGTTTGTAATCCATTCTGCTATCCTCTTCCTTTTTATGGGAGAGTTCATCCCATTCACATTCACCATTATGATTACTATCTTTGTCTTTTTCTCCATGCTTCCCCCCCTTTATGCTTTTCTTTCTCCTTTCTCCTTCCCCCCCCCCCGCTAGTGTTTTGCTTTTGATCACTGCCTCCTTCAGTCTTTCTTCTATTATCCCTTTCTCTTCCCTCCCTTCTATCCCCCCTCCCTTTTCTTTCCCCTTTTCCCTCCTACTGCCTATAGGACAAGTTAGATTTCTATACCTAACTGATTATGTTATTCCCTTCTTGAGCCAAATCTGTTGAGAGTAAGGTTTAAGCAATTCTCACCCCCTCCCTTCTTTCTCTCTGCTGTAATAGGATTTTCTGTCTTTTCCTGTAATGTAATTTATCCTTGTCTGCCTCCTCCTTTCTCAGTACATTTTCTAAGATCAGACTAATCCACTTACTTGGATTCATTTAACCCACTTGATTAGATTTTTTTAATCATTACATCAAAGTCAACTAATATCCACCCCCCCTTTATGTATACTCCTTAAACATGGTGTAACAACAATACAGTCCTCAAGAGTTGCAAGTGTCTTCTTCCCTTGTAGGAATGTAAACAGTCTGCCCTTATTAATAACATCTTGTATCTTTCTGTCCCATTTACCTTTTAATGTCTTTTTTGAATCTTGTCCTTGAAGATCAAATTTTTTATTGAGCTCTTGTCTTTTTATCAGGAAGGTTTGGAAGTCCCCTATTCATTGAATATCCATCTCCTCCCTTGAAAAATCATGTTCATTTTTGCAGGGTAGTTGACCCTTGGCTGCAATCCAACCTCCTTTGTCTTATGGAATATCATGTTCCACACCCTGTGGTCTTTTAACGTAGAAGCTGCAAGGTCCTGTGTAATCCTGACTGTGGTTCCATGATATTTAAATTGTTTCTTTCTGGCTGCTTGCAGCACCTTTTCTTTCATCTGGTAATTTTGGAATTTTGCTATTATATTCCTTGGCATTGTCAATTTGGGATCTCTTTCAGGTGGTGAGAAGTATATTCTCTCTATGGTTATTTTACCTTCAGGTTCTAGGACTTCTGGGCAGTTTTCCTTTATGATTTACTGAAAGATACTGTCCAGGCTCTTTTTCATCATGATTTTCAGGTAGTCCAGTGATTTTTAAATTGTCTCTCCTGGATTGATTTTCCAGGTCGGTTGTTTTACTGATGAGATATTTTGCGTTTTCATCTATTTTTTCATTTTTTTGTTTCTGTTTGACTGATTTTTTTTTTTTTAGGCAGTTGGGGTTAAGTGACTTGACTAGAGTCACACAGCTAGTAAGTGTCAAGTGTTTGGTCTGAGGTTGGATTTGAACTCAGGTCCTCCTGACTTCAGGGCCAGTGCTGTATCTGTGCCAACTAGCTGCCCCCTGTTTGACTGATTCTTGCTCTCTCATAGAGTCATTAGTTTCCATTTGTCCAATTCTAGTTTTTAATAGATTGTTTACTTCTGTTAGTTTTGGTGCTTCCTCCTTCAATTGGCCAATTGTATTTTTAAAGGATTTGTTTTCTTCAGTGTACTTTTTTTTTCCATTTGGCCAATTGTGTTTTTTAAGGACTCTTCTACCTCTCTCATTAGACTTTTAAATCCTTCTTGAGCTCTTCTAAGAAGGCTTTTTGGGCTTCAGACCAGTTCATATTTCCTTTTGATGTTGCAGATGTGGGTTTGTTGACAATGTTGTTTTCTTCAGAATTTCTGTCTTGATCTTCACTCTTCTCATAATATGAATCTATGGTAAATTTCTTTTACTCATGGTTTATTTATTCCCTGGCTTGTAAAGAGATTGAGCTTTCTTGCTGGGGAACAGAAGGCACTGACCCAAGCTTCTTGTGTTGGGAGCCTAGGTCTTGGTCACTGGCTTTGTGTGCTGGGGCATCTTATGTGAGCAATTGGAGGCTGTAGGGTTCTGGTGGCTTACCTCGTGTTGGGCTGGAATCAGCAAGGCTGGGACTTTCAGGCACTTCTAGGTTGCCTGCTTTTCCTTTCCTTTAGCTTTCTTCAGTTCCTTTTAGATGGGTGCTGCAGGGTGTTTATCTGCCTGAAGTCCCTTGCAGTGCTGCCTCCCTCATTTCTGTCAATGCACTGGGAGATTCCTTTGAGGTAGAGTGCCAAGGCATCTGGTGGTTTTCTGAGCTGGTTTCCACCAGTTCCCCCACCCTCACTGAGGCACTGGGAGGTCCAGGTGTTGGTGTTTGCCTGCTCTACCACCTGGGTTTCAGGATCTCCTCTTGGTTGACAGTTGGAGGCTGTAGGGTTCTGACAGCTTACCTGGTGTTGGGTTGGAATCAGAAAGTCTGGGACTTTAGGAAGTCTCTAGGTTGCTTTCTTCAGCACCTTTCATATGAATGCTGTGGGGAACTTATCTGCCTGGGGCCCTTTGTAGTGCTGCTTCCTTTATTTTTGCTGAGGCACTGGGAGACCCATTTGTTAGGCTGCTGCACTGCTGTTCCCCGTCTTTCTTTTAGTTCAGCTGTTCCAAGGTTTTTTTTTTTTCTGGGGTGATATTTTCTGGTTGATAGGTTGATAGGGGAGTGTGAGAGTAACTGCTTTTTTACTCCTCCCATGTTGACTCCCGAAAGTGGAAGATTCTAAAGCATTCTTGAGTCAAACTGGTATAAGGGAAAAAATTTAGCTCCCAAGGTCCTAAGGATGTGTGCATTTGCCTGTAGCATATTCTTCTCTGACAGTTATTATGGAAGGTTATCAGATGTAACCCAGATTCCTTGAAAAGTGACTTGCGCTACTTTATAGAAGCTATAAAACCAACATCTTTCAAGGCCCATTAAAAAAGTTTTTTTTAACGCCTTTTATTTTTACATAATAGCCACTTCTGGATATGACAATATACCTCCCTCTTCTCCCCCCCCCCAACAGATATTAAACTCTTCCTTGTAACAACAAAAGAAAAAAAAAGCAACAGGTAAGGAAACACTCTTGATATACTGGCCTCTGATAAGAGATAAAGCATTCTTGGTATTCCCAATTTCTCTACAGAAAGGAAAGTGATAGATGACATAATCTACTCTCTGGGATCATTATTGGTTTTACAATTGTTTAGAGTTAGTTTTTCCTTTAGTGATTGTTGTCCCTACATTGTATCATTTTGCATGTGGTACATTTGCTTCTGAATATTTCATTTTGCATAAGTTCATAAAATCTTCCTTTTTCCTGAATTCCTTATATTTGCCATTTCTTTTTTAGCCATTCTTCAATTGATCAACATCCTTTTTGTTTCTAGTCCACAAAAAAGTGGTGCTATGAACATTTTGAAACATTATATATCTTTATTTATGACTTTGCCCTCTTTGGGAAAAAGTAGTACTAGTTGAATCCCTGGATGAAAGTGTATGAACAGTTCAGTCATTTTCCTGGAAAATCCCAAATGGTTATCTTAAATGGTTAGACCAGTTGAAGACTCCAATAATAATGCATCTCTTTTTCCATACTCTTTTCAGTGCTATCTGTTGTCTTTTTCTTTTTGTCAAATTTGGCAATTTCTAGTGTTTGTGGTAAAAACACAGAGTTGTTTCAATTTTAAATTTTGTAACTACTAGTAATTTGGAATATGATTTTATATGGCCATTCATAGTTTACAAGTTTTCCTTTGAAAACTGTTATATCCTTTCACCTGTCAGAACGATTCAGGATTGCATATTTGTGTGCGTGTGTGTATGTGTGTGTATCTTAGCTATCAATTTTCATCAGTAGTATTTGATGCAAATATTTTCCCAATAGTTATTTTCATCTTGTTTTATCTTGATTGATTTACTCTGCATGAATGATATTTTCATTTTGAGTGTCTAAAATTTTCTATTTTATCCTTTGTGAGTTCCTGTATCACCTGTTTGGTTAAGAATTCTTTCATTCACCAGAGTTGTGTGAAGTATTGCCTTCTATTCTCAGGTCATATTTGGAAATTACTGTAATTTGTTGTATGGCTTATTTTATACCAAGTAAATTCAAAGGTTGGAAACCAACACCCAAATCAACCAACTAACATGGAGTTTCAAATCTATATGTATTAGTGACCATGGTGTTGGCAGTAACAAGATAAGACTTCACCTGTTGATGCTCCAATTGCTCCAATAAGTATTGCTGGGAGGGCCATCAGTAGGCACCCAAAAGCTGCCAGAAAGGATAGAACTTGAGCATAGGTTGCTGAAGATGATGACAGAACTCTTTGAAAATAAGCTTGCCATGGGATTCCTCCCATCATCTGCAAATAAATCAAATACTTCTCTTATGTCTGAGTCTGAAAACATTGCCAGAAATGACATCTATGATATGCTTCCTGATAATCCAATTATGGCTCTACTTCCAAAGTATGACTATTGTACCATAGTTAGTGAACAGGAAATTCTTATCTCATGTATGGTGAGTTGCCAGAAATAGGGTACAGATTTTGATTTTTGTTAAAATCAGGATTACAACCACTCACATACATAAATATAATTGAATTTTGTGGAAATCTCTCTAGATCATAAACCACCCAATATATGATTTATAAGCTCACTGTTGATTAGACTAGAGTACATCTCTATCTTAGCAAGGGGCCAAGAATGCCTCCCTAAATGGAAGGCACTAATTGAAAATATGATTAATGGAAGAGAAGCTGTAACCTTGGACATTGTACAATATCTATCATCAAGAAGTTTGGTAATAATACAAATTTTGGATAACTGATAAAGAACTTGAGTAGCAAAATGTATCAGTTCCCAGTGTTGCTGCTGGGAAAATGTACTGCTGGCTAGCTGGCAAAATACTCTAGTGCAGAATAGGTTTATTCCAGAGGAAATATATGTATATCAATCAAATATAGCTTGATGATGGCATGTATGTTCTGAAATTTGTGGTTTCATCAACATGGGGAATTCCTGGTGTGGAAACACTCTCCACCAATGAGAATGGCAATTCTTTTGTAACTTATAGTTGTGGTGAGTATCTGTGACACTGAAAGATTAAATGATATAACCATGGTTACAAAGCTGGTGCAAGTCTGAGGCAGTGCTTGAACTGAGTTCTTCCTTACTCTAAAATTGGCCCTCTACCTATGATACTACACTGGCTTTTTTGAAGACATTATATTTAAAAGTAGTTCTATTCCTTTTATTCAGACAATATTACTTTTCCTTTCTCTCTTTCTCTTTCTCTGTCTCTCTCCATAGTTGTCATATATATATATATATATATATATAGTTGTGAGTGTGTGTTAGCAAACTGAATTACCAGTTTTTCAACTTCCTTAACTCCAGCTACCTCTTTTTCCACCACACATCAACTACATTTCACACAAATTATACCATATCATTTCTCAGATTTGCATTACCTCCAAGATCCAGAGCTCTAAAATTACACTCTTCAGTCAGTCACAACCTCCTTTTCTTCTATTTCTCTCATAGGTACTATAGCCAGTTTTTCATTTTTATTGTGTCTTTTTTGTCCCTTGAGTCATTCTATTTCTCCAAGTCCATCTCCCTCCATCTGACTTTGCTTTTCTTCATACCCAGCCTTGGCCCTATGGTTTGCCACTTCTCTGCTTCACTAGATACTGTAGAATTTCTAGATTCCCTGATGATGTAGTCCTTCACCTATGAATTCTTATTCCTTAGTAACTCTGCCATCTGATTTCTCCTTTCATACTTATTGTCTGCTAGATATCACCAGAAAAAAATGTAAATTTTTTTTCTGCTTGTGTTCAGTATGAATCCATGGTATCTAACTTCAGCTGGGTTCTTGCAGATGTGTGTAAATCTTTCAGGCCTACCCTTATTGGTAGCGCATTTCACTATCTGCAGAGAGGCTGTTCCAAATCTTTTATTTTTTACTCTTCCAACCAAATCTATCAACAAGCTCCATACTTACATCAGTTGGTCTTGTCCTCTACTTTACTGAGAATTAAATCACAAGAATTTTAAAGTTGCTAGGGAGCTCAGCTGCCTATTCTATACACAAAAGAAAACCCTACTCTAGCATAGCTGACAAATGATTAGCTGGCCCCTACTTGAAGACCTTCAAGACCCACCACCTCGTAAGTTAGGTACTTCACTTTTGAATGGCTTCCATTGTTAGGCAGTGTTTCTCCCTCTCCACCCACCACCCCAACTTCTAGCTTAAACCTGCTTTTTGGAAATTTCCATCCATTGATCCTAAATTTAACCTTCATTTTACATGACAGCCCTTCAAGTATTTAAAAACAGCTATTATGTCCACTCCCCACTACATCTTCTTTTCTCCAGGCTAAATAGGTCCAATTCCTTAAAGAAACTGAATATGACATGTGACTTTCCTTAGTCTCCACCTCATCCAGACTCCTCAGTAGCTCAATGTCCTTCCCTTTTTTCACAAAAGAGACTTTCCTACTTCATCCTTGATATACCTCTCTCTCAGGTTTCCTCCTGCTTTCTATGACACTTTAGTTCAACAGTCATCACCCCACTCTCCTGCATCTTCGATCTTTTCCTCTGCCTTGGGTCCTTTCTATCAACTTTTACAGAATTATGGAATACAAAAGTTAGAAGTAATCTTAGAGTACATCCAGTCTAACTTTAACATGAACAAGAATCCTTTACTACTCCCTATCCTCTCTTAAAAATTTCTTCCCCCTCATGTCAGAGTATTTTAAAAAATGTATTGATGTAGTCATGTTGCTCTTCTGCTAAAAAATCTTCAGTAGCTCCTTATTGCTTTTTAAGTAAGACCTAGTGCCACTCTACCTTTCTATTCATCTCACATTATTCCCATCCATATCCTTTTATGCTCAAGCCAAACTGTAAAATTCTTTAACCTTTTAAAACATATTTTACTGTCACACCTCCTTACCTTTGCTTAGACAGTTTCCTATGCCCAAAATGCCTCCTCCACTAATAAGCAACATCATTTTTATAAACTTTGACATTGTTCAAAAGTTATCTTTATATTTTTGTCCATCAAGGAATTTGTATAATCCTAATATATGTATACCAGGCACTTTGTTAAAGGAAAACTTTTAAAAGTATGGAATGCTCATTGGAATCAAATGCTTTTTTGTAAGGAAAAATAATAAACTAATATTTTATTCTCCTAAACCTCTCAGAACCATGATTCTATTTCAGACATCTCTGATATAGTTTCCTTTTAGAATTTTGGACAGGATGTCAACATAAACTTCATTAAAATTATAGTAGCCACTAGAACTCAAAATAATTTTTAGGTCAATGTGGTAATACTAAATCTAATCATACTAAGCATTAAAAATAAAGGGTTCTTACTGAAAGGAATACTTTTAAGGTGGTCATATTGCTGGCAAAATTAATTATTTTTACTTTGTTTCCTAAGATAAAGTTTCTTTTACAAACAAAGAAATAATATTTAGTGAAGTCATACTTTTTATGCTTTTGAAAATATGCCCCTTTGCTTCTCACATGGGCAGAACCCTAAGTTGGCAGGTTGGTTTTCTTTTTCCTTAATTCTTCTCTCTCCTTTTATCCCCAAAATACCTAGGTTCCTTACTCTGTTTCCAGGGTTTCTTATTGTGGGAACCATTTCTTAAAAGCATTCTTGACAATTTCTCCTTCTACCAGACCACCCACTCCCTCAAATATTACTTGTTTTAAGTTCCATCCCTTGAAGACATTGCTAATTGGCTCACTCCCTCCTCTGGTAAGTAATTTTTATAAGTTGTTAAAGTCTTAATCAAAAATTTATATATTACTGTTGTCTTCTTGTGTTTTAACTCAAAAAGGCTTTGTGAGATTTTGTGGTACTGTAATAGGGTGGTGGGAAAAATAATTGGCAGGGTGCCTTATGGTGCCTTTTAAATTATAATGTGTAAACAGCTGCATATTTCACCTATGTGTAAGAACAGACCAGTTTGAGAGCCAAAGTTATTACCCTTGTCTGTGACCTTGTTTTCTAACTTTAGCATCAGTAAACTCCATCAACAAGCCAAGATTTGTTTTTCATTATTGTCACCATGCTGCCACATACATTTGATGCTTCATTGAAAATGAAAGGACTCCCTGGGTTTACTTGGCTCATCTTACAGAATGTGACAGAATGTGGGCTTTCCTGGCCCACCTGACACCTACTTTAGTTAAAGACTTTTAGTCAGTTATTGACTGTGTCAAAATATGAAGATTTACTCCATGAAAAAACAGATATTTTATTTGTAAGACATCACTTACCAGTAAAAGAAAATTATCAATCCAAGTGTAGATTTCATTTGATTTAAGAGATCCCAACCAAGGGTCCTGGAAAAGTTCATGCACAGCAGTGAACCCAATGTCTGCAACGGCATTATGTGACATCGCAAAAGGCACGCTGATCCACTGTAAGAAAAAAAAATTAACATTATGACATTACATTCAGATTTTAATAGTTCAAGTCACAGCCAAGGTGGTGGAATAGAAGCAGCAACTCAGCTGAATTCTTCCAACATTCCCCTCCAAACAACTTTAAAATAATGCATCCAGCTGAATTCTGGAGTGACAAAGCCAAAAAAAGGTGAGGTAACTTTTTTTTCCAGCCCCCAAAATAACTTAGGTGGTCAGAAAAGAAGTCGATTACACTGGAGTGGGACAAGCAGCACCCAGCACCAGTGGCAGGCTTTGGTGACTGAAACAGCAGCAGCAGTAGCTTCAGGAGCTGTCCTTCCAGAAATGATAAGGGGGTTAAACAATTGGTCAGAAAGAGGTTATAGAGGACCCTGAGCTGGCACTGGGTGCAGGACCTTGTTGTATTGCCCACACACACACTTGTGCATTGTAGTTCCAGGGTGTAGAGGAGAACTAGTACTTCTTGCCATGTGGAAGCAGGGTCCTTCCTGAGTAAAGATCAGAGCAGAGATCTGGAAAGTAGTGACCACACCTCTCCCCATATCAAACCACCTTAAAAGTACTGAAAACTTACAGACCCCTAAAATGAGTTCTGAAAAAATCAGCACAATAAAACCTGAAGCTTAAGATAGTGTTACCTCTCCCCCTCCACCAGAGCCCAACTTTTAAAAGTCAAGAGATAGCCTGGAAAAATGAGTGAACAACAAAAAAAGAACCTTATCATAAAAATCTACTATGGTGGCAGGGAAGATTAAGACACAATTTAGAACAAGACAACAATGTGAACATAGCTACAAGTAAAGCATCAAAGGAAAAAGTGCAGATTGGACACAAAGCCAACAAGAATTCCTGGAAGAGTTAAAGAAAGAAATGAGTGTTAGAGGAAAAAAATGGGAAAAGAAATGAAAGTGATGCATGAAAATTATGAAATGAGATGTCTTTTCATAACAAATTGGTATAAGAGAGATAAAAGAACAAAGAAAACAACACCTTAAAAAACAGAACTGGCCAAATGGTAAAAGAGGCAAAAAAAAATTACTGAAGAAAAGAACTCCTTAAAATTCAGAATTGGCCAAATGAAAAAAAAAGTATAAAAGCTCATTGAAAAAATAATTCCCTAAAAATTAGAATTAGGGAAGTGGAAGCCAATGACTCCGTGAGATATCAAGAAACAATATAACAAAGCCAAAAGAATGAAAAAATAGAAGAAAATGTGAAATATCTCCTTGGAAAAAGAACTGATCTGGAAATTAGATTTAGGTGAGAAAATTTAAGAATTGCCTTTTAAAACTACCTTGAAAGCCACAATAAAGATAAAAAAAAAAAGCCTAGACATCATAGGTCAAGAAATTATCAAGGAAAACTACCCTGATATGCTATAACTAGGAGGTAAAAAAGAAATGATAAGAATCCACTGGTTACCTCCTGAAAGAGATCCTCTAAATGGAAACTCCCAGTAAGATTATAGCCAAATTCAGAACTTCCAGGTCAAGGAGAAAATATCACAAACTGCCATTAAGAAACCATTCAGATACTATGGAGCTCAGGATCACACACTATTTAGGAGCTTCCATGTTAAAATGAACGGAGGGCTTAGAATATGATATTCTGGAAGGCAAAGGAGTTAGGATTACAATTAAGAAAAATTTACCTAGGAAATCTCAGTTATAATTCTTCAGGGAGAAAAATGGATATTCTTGATGAAAAGACCAGGGATGAATAGAACATTTTACACTCAAACACAAGATTCAAAAGAAACATAAAAAGAGAAATATGAAAGAGAAATCATAAGGGGAATGGTGGGCAACACTTAAATCTCACTCTCATTGGAACTGGTTTAAAGAAAGAGGAAAATATGTACATACACACATAAAGACTCAGTTGGGTATAGAACTATCCTACCCAGTAAGGAAGTAGAAGGGAAAGGGGATAAGAGAAAGGGGGAAATAAAAGGGAAGGTAGATTAAGAGAGGCAGTTGTTAGAAGGAAAACAGGCTTTTGAGGAGGGATGGGGTAAAAAGAGAGAGAAAAGCAGATTTTGATAGTTCAAAACAATGCAAGAGTCAAGACAGTAAAAAATTTAAAAGCAAATTCAACTCTTGGTTCTAAATGAAACCTTACCACCTCTGAGTGAGATCTTGTTCTCAGTTACCTTATTCAGTGTTAGTTAATCCTTTACCTATCCCCCATCTCTTCCAGCACTTGGGTAAGGTGAAGATGTGAGCAGACTCCTTGCCTCTCAGTATTGCTTCTTGACCATTGTTCTGTTGCCATGACTAACAACCTCTCCACTTTTGATACCCGTGGAGGTAGATGGGAAATTAGTGAGCATGGTGAAGAAAAGGCCGAACTATTATTGTGTTCCTACCTTATCTGCCCAAAATATTGACAGATAATTGGGATGGAAGGGAGATTACAAAAATGACTAATGTTCATCTTGTAAGCAGATAGTAAGGAACATAGGATCATGTTATCATAGTTTTATTGCTAGAAGGGAGATCAAAGGCCATCCTGTCCAATACTGTCATTTTTTAGTTAAAGAAACTGAGGTTCAGGAAAGTGAAGTAACCTTGGGATGTAGCTATTTTCAATGAATTTATCCCTGAGGTTCCTCCTAGTCTAAACCTTTACCGTTATGATCTTGAGTAATCAATCCTTAAAAAATACATCCCTGGCTAATGGAATAATCAATATTAAGGATTAATGAATAATTCTGGGAATAGAAAAATTATTTTAAATCCAGAGAATGGAAAATGTCTTGGGTTTCACCCAAAGGAAGAAAGTGGAGTCTTCAAACTATAGACAAGGCAATTTATTCCTAGAAAAAATCCAGAATATAATTATTGATAAACATTTAGAGAGATATAGTATTCACTAAGAGCTAGTATCATCAAGAACTCATCAAGAACTGGACATGCCAGGCTAACTCCATTTTCTTTATTTTTGACAAGGGTTCTATTCTACATCAATCGATCACAAGAATATTGTAAAGAGAGAATACACGGATGTGTAGATATGTGGTCAATATGTACATACAGGTGGATATGAAACAGGTTGAATCTCACTACATTGAAAGAACAGCTATTAATTAAGTAATATTAACCTTGAAAAAAGTTTCTAATGTAGTCTTTGGCCATGTGATACTAAATATTTTTATCTTTGATTTGGAAGAAGAGGACGTAGACCTGGGAGTAACAGCTAGCACATTAGATACCAATTTTGTTCCAAAAAGATCTCAACAAACAAGTGGAGAGGACCAAATGCTTCTCTTTTCCTTTCTTTAATTTCTTCAATTACAAATACCAAATAAAATGATCACTTTCATATAAATTGTAGAACATAAGGAGAGGATTATACATGAAACTATGAATCACTGTTAAGCAGAATTTATTTTTCTTTCAAAGTAGATATTGAATTCAATATGCAACATTCAATGCTGCCCTGCTTCTCTCTACTTCCTTTTCATCTTCTTACTGTTCTCTTCTCATTTTTTTGGGGGGAGGGAAGTATTCCTGCACTCTCTCTCCCTCCTATTTCCCATTTAAAATTGAAAGAAAAAATCCAAACTTCATAATAAATATGCATCATAACTGAAAACAAATTTCCACTTTGTTCATGTCCCAAAACTTATGTCTCATTTTATATCTTGAGGCTCTGTCAGGGAATGGGTCACAAGCTTTATCACTGGTATTCTGGAATCATTATTGATTGTTATATTGATGAGAGTTTTTAAGTCTTTCAAAGTGGCTTTACTTTATATTCTTGTTATTGTGCAAATCACTCTGGTTCTTATTACTTCACTGTACATCATTTCATATGTGCCTTCCAGAGTTTTTCTGAAATTGTCTGTTTCATCATTTTTATGGCACAATAATATTTCATTATATATGTATATCATAATTTATTCATTCATTTCCCAATTGATGAGCACCTTCTTAGTTTCTAGGTCTTTTCCATCACAAAAAGATCTGAACAAATGGTTTTGTACATAAAGACCTTTTCTCTTTCTCTTTGAGCTCTTTAAAGTATAGAATCAGTCACAGTTTACTAGGCCAAAGTATGCACAATTTAGATAGGTTTTGGACATGGTTCCAAATTATCTTCCAGCAAGCTGGACCAATTCACAAATCCTTTAATAGTGAATTAATGTTCAAAATCCAAATGTAAAGAGGAGAAAAAAACTTGATCAACTGTATGACTACCAGATGAGGAAGTCAAAACTAGACAAGAGTTTGTATGGAAATAAAAAGATCAGAGTTCAGTAGACTACATATCAATTATGAGTCAAAAATATGGAATGATAGCCAAAAATGTTAATATTAGACAATATCAATAGATATATAATCTCTTGGTAGGTGGAGATGATAATCTCACTATACTATGGTCAGGTACCATCTGGAATACTATGTTCATTAATGAGCACCATATTTTAGGAAGGACATTGACAAACTGAAGACTGGGCAGGAGAACAGGGTGAGCAGCTTAGTGAGCATATTGCAGGTCTTTCCATAAGGGTCTCAACCAAAGGATTGATTAGAGTAACAAGAGATACATGACATGAAGAAGAGATGGGGGGTCATGGTAGTTGTCTTCAAGTATTTCAAATGCTTAGGAGATGCATTAGACTTCTGCATAGTTTCAGAATGAAGAACTAGAAGTTGCAAAGAGGCAGATTTTAGTACAAAAAAGGAAAAGCTTCCTAAAAATTAGAGCTGTTCAAATTTTGGATGGACTATTTGAGGAGGTAGATGTTTCTTCTTAGGCTATTCTAATCCATAAACAAACTCTCATTAGATCCTACTACTCCCATTAATTAAAATCTTATCTTTTTCTTAACTTTCTAAGCCAAATTCCTTGAAACAGTTGTCTACATTCATTGTCTCTACTTTGTCACTTTTCTTCTTAACCCTAAATGCAATCTGGTTTCTGACCTTATCCCTTACCTGAAACTGCTCTCTCCCAAATTACTAAGGAACACTTCATTTCCATGACTTCATCCTCAACTTTTTTGACTTCTCTGTCAATGTTTGACATTGATGACTATCTTTTCTCCTCTTAAAGTTTTTGTGACACATTCTTCTGGTCCCCTTCTTGGCCGTCTGATTACTCCTTAACAGCCTTTGTTGGCTCATCAACTATGTAATATGCAATAACTGTAGTATCTCCTAAATCTCTGTCATATGACTCATTTTTTTTTCTCTTTATGCTCTCTCTCTTGGTAACCTTATTAACTTCTATGGGGCTCCATCTGTAGATAACTTCCATATCTCTGTATCTAACCTCAGTCCTAATCCTGCCCTCCAATCCCACATCCTCAAATGTCTTTTTGATATATAAACCACATGTTCTGTAGGCATTTCAGACTCAATACATCTAAAACAAAATTTGTTACCTTTTCTCCAAAACTTAAACCTCTTCTGAATTTCCCTTACTATTTACCATCAAGGGTACCAAGTGCTCCCCAGCACCTTGGTTAGTAATCTCATTGTCATCCTTGTCTCCTCATTCTTACTCCAAATGTTCAATCATTTGCTAAATCTCCTATCCCCATTATCTTCTTTCACATATGTCCCCTTCTTTTCATTTATACAGCTTCATCTTAATTCAGGCTCTCAACACCTCTTACCTGGACTATTACAATACCTTTCTATTTGTTCTCTCCCTCCTGAGTCTCTCCTTATTCCATTACATCCTTTACACAGCCACCAAAGTCATTCTCCTCAAGTGCAAGTCTAACTATCAACCAGCTGCTCAGTAAACTCTAGAAGCTCCCTATTACTTCTAAGAACAAAAACAAATTCCTTTATTTGGCATTTAAAATGTGTTACAAACTAGCCTTTTCCTAACTTTCAAGTCTTCTTATTACTCTCTTCTATACACTCTGTGGTTTAGTCATATGGGCTACTTTCTATTCTGCACATATATGTGTATATAAATACACACATACATACACACATATATTCATTTCCCATCTCCATGCCTTTGCACTGACTCTGTCCACCTCTATCTTTGAATATCCTTAGTTTATTTGAAGGCTCAGCTGAAACACTACAAGCTACCTGAAGCCTTTCCTGATCTCTTTAGATACTTGTGCCCTCCCTCCTAAAATTCCCTTGTATTCATTTTGTGTACATCTATATATCTCTCTCCTGTTAGAATGTAAGCACCCTGAGGGGGTGGACCTATTTTACTTTTGTGTTTGTATCTCTAGCTCCTTAAAAAGGGCTTAACAAATGATTATTAAAAACTTATTTCTCTATCACTTGAGGTCTTCTGGCATAGGATGGATTAACTTAATTTATTAACAAAGCTTTCAGGAAATTCCTCTTCAGATATAAGTTGGATGAAATGGTACTTTACAACTCTGAGATATTTTTGTTATGGTGCTGTTTTATGATTGAATTCTCTCTCAATCTTTGTCACAGCCATCTATTGACCCTTCTTCCTTCCTCAATAACTTCATCACTTGGTTGAGTCTTCCCTCTTTGGTAGTCATCTTCCATGACTTCAATATCCATGTCAAAGGCTTTTCTAATAACGTTTTCACATTTCTTCAATTCCAACAATGTCAATATCTATTCTGAATCAGTTATCCACAAACATGGCCACGCTATAGGACTTTAATATCACTATGTCTCTGAGGTCTTCAACTAACATTATTTTTTCTATTCATAATCTCCTAGCTTTCCACCTTTCCTGTTTCCCCACTCCTCCTTATGTAGTATGGCTATAGCCTAAGAAGAAGGAAATATAAATCTGATAATTGAGCAATCTCTAAAGTAGGAGACTATTGAATATGGGAAGATAAATGCCTTGCTATAATTGTATAGTAACTTCACTGAGGGAGTCAGTTGTTTGCCAATTAGCTAATTAGCATTTTCTAGCATTTTACTTTCATATATACAGTTTGATTGCAGTACCCTGTGTCACTTGAATTATGTTTTCTAGTATTTGAATTCAGATTTCTTTGTCCTACCATTTTTATGATATCACATAGCTATGTGTTCTAAGCTCCTTTGTTCTTACAAACATTACCAGTCATCCATTATCTGTACCAAGGCAGACATAGCATTACCAAACTAAGCCCATTTCAGACATCCTCTGGGAAGATATATTAATTTTTTTTTTGGCTAGGCTATGGGATTAAGTGACTTGCCCAAGGTCACAAAGCTAGTCAGTGTTATGTATCTGAGGCCAGATTTGAACTCAGGTCCTCCTGACTCCAAGGGCAGACCTCTATCCACTGTGCCACCTAGCTGCCCTGATATATTAACTTTTAACTCTCTATTTTCTTCTTTGTGGTTTGAGAGTGCCTTCTAGTACTGGGTGAAAGCCTTGATTTTTCAAGAGAGTTTATTTGTTGTTGCCATTAAAAATATAAATAAAAGAGAACTGAAACAATTTAAAGCATCTCAAGGCCAATATAAATCCCTGTTGAACAAAAATCTCAATAATACAAATAAAATCTATAGTGATAGAAGAGAGTACACCATAGACCTTAGTAATTCCTATATGTAATAATAAAAGGATAACAATAAATGAATAAGTCCATACCTAAGCTCCAAGATTGATTTTAGCCATTAATTTCAACCTTACTCCATCAAGCCTAAAATATCTTGAGTCAGATTAATTTAAATTTCTGTTCCTTTCCTTTTCCCTTCTAAATACCTAGTTTGAGCACTAGAGCACTATGAGAAGAAAGGAAAAAATGTGGAACAGTAGAAAGAGGACCCAGGTTCAAATTCTGTCTTTGATACTTTCTATGTGATCTTGAGAAACTCACTTAATCCCCTTGGAACTCAATTTCCTCATCTGTGAAAGGAAAGGGTTGGCCTCTGAGGTCCCTTCTAGCTTGAGTTCTATGGTTTTATGACAAGAAAGGACTCTAAATAATATTCACAGAGGACTACACTTGGGAAGATGTGGGCAACAATCACGCAGAAGTAAATGTGAATTGATGGGTTGTGAATTTTACACCTGATGGGATAATCCCCGTTATTGGGATCATATATCCAAAATATTGACATGTACTAGGGGAAATTGCTGAATATAGAGTCTGGCCTCTTACTGTGGTATCTGAGTCTACTTATTTGTTTATTTATTCTTGGTGCCCTCATGGCACCTACCTGTGAATTGTTATTAAAACCATAATCACAGCATTTAATTTTAATGCTCTAAAGTAATTTGAAAGTATTGAGCAGAGAGTTTCAATGACAAAAAAAACCAAATCTGCTTATAGACCTGTTCCACTTGTGTTAACAATAATAACAAATGGCATTCAAAAGCACTAATGAATCTAATTTATACTCCTCAGAGAGATTAGTCTTATATTTATATTTATGTAGAAGTATATAAATGCATCTTATAGTTATAGAGATACAAGGTAAAGAGAAGAATATGTTCACATGGTATAGTTTTTCTTTCCTAAGCAACTCACATGTAATGAATCATGCATTCATTCTCACAATGGTTTTAAGATGTCACCTGAAATAATGCACAATGGATTTAGGGTACTTGCTTAAGGAAACCAAACAAGTTAGCAGGAGATTATTTCTCTCAAATTTTGATGATAGTAACTATCTCCTAAGATCAAAGAATGTTTCACACCTAAGTGTGGATCAGAGTCCATGTGAGAGGAAAGATTATCTCTACAACTTGATGTTACACCATTGAAAAGCATTAGAATTCTGAAAATCCTAAGAAATTCTTGGATATCAAATTAAGTTCATACCTTTGTTTCAATTTTGTTTTGTATAATGACTGGAAATTTGTTGACTGCTTCATGGTTAAAGAAAGTAGGAATGTTTACTCTGTTAATAACCATGTGCCAACATGATGGGAAATACTTATCAACTGACTTTTAGTTGACTTGTCATACAGTATCACTGTCTTAAAACTGGAAAAATAGTTGGCCAAACTCACCAATCCCAAGAATATGCAGAAGAGTTGGACGACATCAGTGTATGCAACTGAGTAGAGTCCACCCACCAGGGTATACAGAATTGCAATCAAGGCAGAAACAATAACTGAAATGTTTATATTGATATCAATAATCACACTGATGGTTGCACCTAAACAAAAAGAAAATAGTATCATTGAAGTGTTATGAGTTGTACTTCTTTTCAAGATCATGAATGGTCAAAAATGAGTTAAACTTAAAGGACAATTAGATTTTATTTTCTGTGTAGTTTGATACGTGAGATATTTTCATAGAATGTAGAAAGAGGAGTTTAGAGAGCTAGTCATCTGGTCCAACCTCACATTACAGATGAGAAATTGAGGATTAAAAAAGGGAAGTAACTTCTCCAAAGTCACAGAAATAGTAAATAGGTAGAGCCAGAATAAGAACCTAGGGCTTCTGACTTTAAATTCAATGTTCTTTCTAATTCATCATATTGGAGGAAAACTATTTTCTGCAAATGATGGAATTATATATTTATATCTGAATTGAAACTTGCTAACTATGTAACCCTGGACATGTCACTTAGCCTGTCTGCCTCAGTCTCCTTGTCTGTAAGGTGGGGATAATAACAGTGCCTGCTTCCTGGAGTTGTTGCAAAGATAAAATAATTAATGTACATAAAGTACTTTTGTAAATATTAAAGTGCTATATCAATGCTAGCTATCATTATTATTATTACTGACATTTAAATAGAAGTACTCTTGGAACCATTAATAATGTTACTGTATTTTCCTTTCACATAATTTTAATGCATGTGTAACTATTTTAATTTGGGTTGTCTAGTTAGTAATTCTGTTCAACATACCTTGAAGTCAGATAAAAAAAATACTGCTTGTTGTTCTAAGTAGTCTTTAAAATAAGAATCTAGAGTAGTTTTAGAAATCAATTATATTTTTCTCTACCTTTATGACTTTTATCGGTTGCAAATATTTTGGAAATTATGTCTCCTAGGGATTTGCATTTGATATGACTAAACAGTAATATTGTTAAGATTAACATGCAAATGAGATATTTTACACTTTTATGTGGTATGCAATTACTCTTTTTAAAATTACCTCTTATTATATAGTTAACAGCTAAGTATTCACACCAAGAAGATAGATAATTGAAATGAATAGATGATTAAAAAACCTCTTGTTTGGTCCTGTAAACATATGAATTTTTAAGAATTTATTTTCCTTTCTGATTTTGTGTGTGCATATGGAGACAGTAAAGCTATTTGCTGACTAAAACATAACACCAATGGTAGAGGTTTTACTAATGTCAGGTATAAATAACGAAAGTACAAATGCCATCCATGTGGGTGGAATATAATGACATTATTTTTTTCACTTACCTTTTGTTCTAGTTCAAATTCCATATTTAATTAATTAATATTAATTAATTTCCATATTAAGTCAGAAGACGTTAGAACTTTCTAACCTTAAGTCATATTTGTTAGGGACAAAAGTATGTAATTTCAACTTCGGACATGAGGTTTAAAAGAAAGATAATCAGCCTGGCATACTCTACCCGCCTTTCATTACCTGTGTATAGTGGCTTGTATCCTCTGGTTAGGGCTGAAGAGATGGAAACCTGTATTTATTGGGGAGAGTCTTTGGGGAGAGTCTTCCTAGTCACACCAACCTTCTAGACTAGAACTGAAATGATGAATAAGTTGCTATGAAAAGGCAATAAATCAGGGAGCAGCACTAAGTTACAATGATACCAAAAGGATCACATGCCCAGTGGTAGTGTGAGGGAGAAAGAAAGAGAAGGAGAAGGAGAAAGAAGGGAAAAAGGAAGAGGAGGAGGAGAAGAGAAGACAGAGATAATTTCTGAAACATAATATTCCATGGGAAAGACCAGAGACATTGCGCCATAATCAGGTATAGGCCCAGCTGGAAACAGCTCCCACTATCGGTTCAGATAGGGCAATATGAGGGTATCACAGAATACATCAACACCCTTCAGAGTGAGAAGTATGAATTGCCTTTCTAGGCATGTGCTCCAGCTGCATGCTTTCCTTATTTGGGATTCCACATGAGTGCTCCCGATGTATGTTTATTCTTTCTGCTGATGTATTTGAAGGAAAATAAGACTCAAGTTTGGGAGTGTGAGATATACTATTACCGGTTTTTTTTTTTAGCTGTGATGTTCCATTAAACACCTTTGTTCTGAACTGTGTCTTAATGGCTGACTGGTAAATGTAAGCACATCTTCATTGGGGAATTATGGTAAAACAGAAAAAAATTGTGCAACAAGAGGGGGATCTGAGATCTGTCTCTGTCAGAGAAGGGCATTGCTGGTGTTGTTCAGTCATTTCAGTGGTATGTGACTCTTCATGACCCCATTTGGGGTTTTCTTGGCAAAGATATTGGAGTGGTTTGCTATTTCCTTTTTAGCTCATTTTACAGATGAGGAAACTGAGGCAAACAAGGTTAAGTGGCCTGCCCAGGGTCATCACACAGCTAATAAGTGTCTGAGGTAAGATCTGAACTCAGACCTTCCTGACTCCAGGCCTGGCACTCTATCCACTGTGCCACCTAGCTGCCACTGCCACATGATTGCCCCTGAAGGGAGATCTCACACTAGTTAAATCATGGGTTCATCAGAGCATCAGGTTAAAGAGAACTCAACTGAAAGGAGGCCAGAAAATCCAAAAGAAGGCTAAAGAACAAGGAAAAATAATATTAACCTTAGTTTAACAATTGGAAAAGAAATTAATTGATCGATTTTTCTTATAACTTCAGTTTAATAACATGCTTCAGGCTTTCATTGTATTTTCTGGCTGTTTTCTTCATTATATATTTTTGTTGCTTTATTCTCTATCTCCCTTATAGTTATTCAATTATTTTTCCAAGTTGATTCTATAGAATAACCAGTTCAGATCTAACCATAACCTTTCAGAATTAATTCTATTTTGTTTTCTCCATATTTCAAGAAAGCCTGACTTTGTACCTTAATTGTAAGATGACTTTATTATCCACAACTTGTCCTGAATGTCTTAATAGGTCAATCCATTATGAGGTCTCAGTTGGAATTGCAGTACCTCCATGGTTATACTTTTGTCTACATATCTAAAAAAATACAGAGATGCTACAGAAGGCAGCTAGGTACCTCTTTAGAAGCAGTGAGGTTGTATAGTAAATAGAATGCTAGGTCTAAAGTCAGGATGATTGGAGTTCAAACTTAGTCTCAGACACTTATTATCTCTGTGACCCTGCCCTAAACTGCTAGCTAGGCTTCCTACTAATAAAAATGAGGATAATAACAGCACCTTCTAAGTTGTTGTGAGGATAAAATGAAATAAAATTTATAAAGTGTTTTGCAAGCTTTGAAGTGCTATGTAAATGTTATTTACTGTCATTATTATTAGAGAAAACCTTAATAGGTCAATTTCATTGATGGAGAGCTTTTCAGTTTATGATCTTCTGCTGTGAGCATCAAGATGAAAACTTCTATCTGTTCAGTACTTCTCATACATGTAGTGGTAAATAGTAAATGGTTAATTGTGAGACAGTGACATAACAATGATTCACTATTTCACTGGTATTTTGGTTCACTGAGCTATTTCTGAGTTCTTATTACCAACTGTATTATCTTATCATTCTTAGACATGTCACAATTGTATAGGCGTTGTATGAATATGTTTTAAAAAACAAAGTTAAGCTGTCGCAGCAGTAGCTTAGCAAAGAGGAAAAAGAACTGGCCGTATATTCAGAAACAGTGAATTCAAGTGTTGGCTCTGCTATTTATAAGCTTCACAACTATAAAAAAGACAATCTCTCTGAATCTCCATTTCCTTTTCTGTAAAATGAGTTGTTGTTCATCCTTAATTTTTTTTTTGGCAATTGGGGTTAAGTGACTTGCCTAGGGTCACACAGCTAGTAAGTCATCCTTAATTTTTGAAGAGGACCAATGATATTTCAGGGTGATGTCTTGACTAGTGCCTGAATTGGATCTAAGCAAGGCAGAGTTGTACAAAGTTGTCAGCTTCACTCTCTCTTCCAGAGTCATCAAAGTGTAGTTACAAGACAAAAGTCAAGATGACTGGCAATGACCCAGGAAGCAGTAGATGACCCTGGTGTCTTCAATGTCTGACCAAGCTTTAAGCATTCCACAGCACCTGTTTCAGTCATCTTCATGACCACTGGGAAAAAAAAAGGCTCATCCACCTATTCCATTGGGTGATAGATTGGGGTAGACATCCCTCTAACTCACCTATAGGTTTGAGGCATGTCAATTAGCCTCAACCTCTTTTAGCCCCTCTGACGGTTTTCCTGGGGTGTGGCTGCTGCCCATGCTATAGCTTCTTGGAGCCACAAGTGAAAGTTGAGTGGCAGATGGACACCAAAGATAGAGGAGTAGCCTTGAAAAGGGCTCAGCAAGCCCTCATGACAGACATGCTAGTCCTCCCTGAACATATCATATACCCTGTGCTCTATATATCTCACTGGGTTACACCGAGGAAAATATTTTGCAAAGTGCTACAGAAATGTGAATTATTAATACTAACTACTAAGCCACAGCAATAATGTTATATAAAGTCAAAGCACTCAAACAAGTTGATGCTTTGATGGCTCTTTCAGTTATAAATTAGGGCTGGACTTGTAATTTCATCGGTACTTTGACTCCCAGGTGAGGAAACTCTTTCAGGTAGGCACCTAGAACCTAGATAGATTAAATGATTTGCCCAGGGTCAGTCATCCACTATTGTTAGTGGCAGGACGAATCCAGGGCATCTTGGCTCTCTATCTACTACGCCATGTGCCTCTCTCCTTCAATTATTGAGAGATCAAATTGCTGAGATGTTGCAATATCCCCAGACTATAGATATGGTGCTTTTCATATTTTTAAAATGTACTTTTAAAGCATTAGCTAATTAATCCTGTCCTCTCCCTTCCAAGGTCTTGCCAAATGAATTGATCTTCAGTCAGCAAGAGTGAACATTGTGTATTTTCTCCAAGCTCTCCAGCCCACTCCTTCCTTCCCTGTCAACTCAGCAGGCAGTTTGTTCTGGAAACCTAAAGGGTCTCATGATTAAATCATGGTGAATAGGCTCCCTGTTGCTTTTGAGCTAATGAAGGCAGGGCAAGAAAGGAGCTGCACTTTTGCATACAATTCCATTACTAAGTGGGAGCAGCAGTGTTTACTGAGCATCATTACCCGGCATAAGCAGGCAGCAGCACCAGCCATTACAGTTTCTTAAGGTACCTTAGAGATATGAGGCTCCTTTCTTTCCTTTTTTAAAGTCTCTCTCTCTCTCTCTCTCTCTTCTCTCTCTCTCTCTCTCTCTCTCTCTCACTTTCTCTCTCTCGTTCTGTCTCTCTCTCTCTGTCTGTCTCTCTCCCCCTCCTCCCCCTCTGTCTCTTTCTCTCTGTCTTTCTCTGACTCTCATTCTTTCCCTCTCTGCCTGTAAGAGGACAAAATCATAACCAACCTACTGCTTAATATTGGCCAACGTGGTCGTACCAAAGGCAAAAATCATAAGTACATATTCAAGGAGTGCTTTATATACCTCATCTCATTTGATCCTTCCAACAAACATGTGAGGTAGGTCCTACGTGTTATCTTTTTCTTTTTCTCATTCCCATTCTATAAATGGAAACATCAAACCCTTAAAGAGGTTAACTGATCCATGATCACATAGCTCACAAGTGTCAGAAGCAGGATTTGAATCTAGTTCTTTGTGATATCAAGTCCAGTACTCAAAGCATTATGTCACACCACCTCTACAAACACACACACACACACACACACACACACACACACACACACACACACACACGTTTTACCCTTATATTTCTTTGCCTAGGGAAGTGCAAGTAGGATATATTGGACATAATGACTTCTCAGGTTCCTTCTAACTATAGATTCTATCTTTTTCTGATGCCCCTGAATACCACTCCCTTCCGATTAGTATAGCATGTAAGCTTATAAGTACCTCGTATAACAGAGCAATAGTAGGAAGTAAAATTGCAAAGAGGAACCTAGAAGTCACTTACAGACTGTCCTATAAATTAAGGGAGCACAACAATACTTACAAACTCCCTCATAAATTAGAGGAACATAGGAGCTACTGAAAATTGTCTTCCTAGGTAACTAAGATCACATCCTGAGACTATATGCTAAAACAGGGGAAGCCAGCTAGGTTTTAATGTAAGGATCCCTTGGTCCTGTAGTCTATAAGCCTCAGATAAGCTCCAGACATACACAGTAAAACCAGTAGAACACCATCTCAAGCATTATGCTAATGATGATGTTGATATATTAATGAACTGACAGCAAGAGTTAGTCTATCCCCTCCAAACCCTATAAAACTGAATCCCCAAACTCCTATGCTTCTCTCTGACCTGGGACACCTCACTCAGTTATGGGTCTATGCTGTTTGAGTCCTCCCAATTCCAATCTGTGGTTATGTAAATACTCTCTATGTCCCTCCCCTTCTTCATTCTTTTCCCCATGCTGCCTATGTTCTTCCACCATCCCATCTCTCTGTATTCTCTGTGCCTTATTAAAGTATGATTGAAGAATTCCTCACTGCTTGCTGCTATCTTGGTCTCTCCCTGGGAGTATCCAAAAACTCAAGTGTGCCTGCCCCTTTCTGACCCAAAGGATCACTTAGAGGTCCTGTTCCTTTAGTCATAAACAGTGAGCACAAAGACTGAGGCTTATGCTATTCATAGTAACTCCTACCCTTGAATAAGCTGGGTGCAATGAATTCATGGGCAGAAAGCAAGGGTAAGTAGCTGAACCATGAGTTCCCCAGGAGATTTTTTTTCCTTTTATGTGGGTCACAATAAATCAATAATTTATAAATTAATTGACAATTCATATGTCTCAGACAAAGGAGACTTTAATCAAATCATTTAATATTACTGTGTCTCATTTCTCAACTATGAAATGAGGGTAGTGGTCCAGGTGGCCTCTACATACCTTCTATCTCTAGATCTACGATCCTAGACATTCAAGAAAAACAGGCAATCAGCAGCTGTGGAGAGTTTAAGAGCATCTGGTCAGTAGCAAGAAAATCTGGGTTCATGTCTTGACTGATATTTGCTAATTGTGAAACTATGATGAAGTCATTTAACCTTTCTAAGCCTCAGTGTCCTCAGCTATAATGTAGGAATATAAATACAGCACTCAAACTACTTACTTCACAGAATTGTTGTGGGAAAAGTGTTTTGAAAATCTTAAATTGATATACAGAATTGTCTGATTGTATATTTTAGACCCAAGACTTCTTAATCTGAATTCTGTTAACTTATAACAATTTTTATAATTATTTTAAATATAGTTGGTTTACTTTTTATACCTATATATCTCATTTTATGCCTTTAAACATTATTCAGAGAAAGAGTCCATAGATTTCACCACACTGCCAAAGGGTTTGAGCAGCTAGTGATGCAGTGGATAGAGTGCTGGGTCTGAAGTTAGGAAGGCTAATCATCCGAAGTTCAGATCTGGCCTCAGACACTTAATGGCTGTGTGACCTTGAGTGAGTCACTTAACCCTATTTACCTTAGTTCTTCATCTGTAAAATGAGGTGGAGAAGGAAACGGCAATCCCTTCCAATGTCTTTGCCAAGCAAACCCAAATGGGGTCATAAAGAATTGAATACAACTGAAATGACTGAACAACAACAACACAAACCAAAGGGGTCTAGGATACAGAGAGAGAGAGAGAAAAAAACCAGTCTTTCTTTTGCCTAAAAGACCAGATGGTATCTCAAGGTCCTATCTATATAGTACGATGATTCATAAACATGGCACAAGAACTATTGGACCAGTAAAACATATTCTCCTGAGAATCTTAGTAATTTGCTGGCAGCAATTTAGATATCAAAGAAAGTAAAGAGGTAATTGAGAGCCAGCAAGCCACAGCTACAGAGTTTCTTATGGACAGATAATTCCCCAAGGACCAAGAAACCTGCCAATAGGATCCCACAAACCAGTTAATATTCTAGAGAAGCTAGGAGAGCTCATTCTGAACAACTTAAAGACATTCCTATATAACGTTTCCATGACTGATATTATTTCACAATGACTATTATAATATCATTTCCTCTAATGCTGGTTCTTTTGTGTGCGTGTGTGTGTGTGTGTGTGTGTGTGTGTGTGTGTGTGTGTAACAATTATTGACATGAATTGGTGGCATGTCTATACTATAATCCATTTTAAAAATAGTTTCTCCTTAGAATTCACTAGATTGGTATTGAAATCCTTCAATTCCTTGATTGACTTCCTGGATTGGTTGGTTTTTCATTGTGGTTGCTGTTTTTGTACTGAATTTTCCTTCAAAGTACTGTCAACATTTTCAATTCAATCTGATTCAATTCAACAAACTTTCATTAAGCATTTATTATATGCAAAGTATTATTCAGTGCTTGGAAAAGAAAGACAAAAACTATAAATCATTCCTAGCTTATCTTCTATTGGAATTTACAGTAGCAAGGCTTGTCTTTTGAATGAGAGGAAATGGAATTTAAAAGTTAAAAGCTCCAGAAATGATAATATCTTTTATTCTGTTTATTGTCCAGTGCTATATCTATAATTTTTTTTTTTTTGCCTAGGGCAGGCAATTAGAAACTCTGTCAAGTCAACTTATTAAACAAATTCATTTTGGAGCATGGCGGAGCGAGCAGTGAGGGAGACAGAACACAAAAAGGGTATAGTGGGAATATTGAAATGATCAATGAGTGAGGCAGATAGATGGAGCAAGCTGTTTGTGGCTTCCTATTTTAATTAATTTTTCTTGTTAATTAGATGTTAAGCAAGATTGTTTCCATGATAATGAATAAGTGCAAGGGCTCAACGTCATTGCCCTGCCCCAACTATGCTTCTGGTTGTACCTCCGGTTGAGGACCTCAGATACTGCATAAAATGATCACACTTATTTTTGCAATAGCTTTTGGGGGAAAGATGGGAAAAGAAATAGCTATATCATACAAAAGATAAAAAAAAAACAAGGCTTAAGAAGGTTAAATGATCTATGTCCAAAGTCACCAATATAGTAAATAGTAGAAATTATTCTTTAGGTTCCTTACCCAAGGCAGAGAAAATAGCTGCAGCCCAGAACATTTCCCCCATTAGGGCAGGAATAAAGATGAGTCCACCCATGCGCTTCCCATAGAGTTGCTGAAATGGATCTAACATTGTCACATACCCTTTGGAACGCATGGGTTTTGCAAAAAACAGACCACCTAAAACCAAAACAGAAGAAACATAAAATTTTAAAAATTTATTATACAATTATTATCTTCCATAATGTATGTTATAATTTTTTTTTACATCTATGCAAAGTGTAATAATTTCCTAAGGGACTTCAATGTTTTTTGGGAAAGCCATAAAATTGGGGGATAGAGGAAAAATCAGGAAAAAAAGGAATGTTTCTCACCTCCCAGTGAAATCTAAAAGCACAGAAAGATGGTAGAGGAGAAATCAAAGTCTAAAATAGTTTCTGCTTGAAGTTGAAGCTGAAGAATTTAGCAATGGAAAAATGAAAACTATAAAAATTCTTCACACTAAAATAACACAGAGGTCCCCCCCTGTGGCATTATCTTAAGTCTTACAAAACTCAACATATAGTATTTGCATTTTCAAGATATTATTTAGGAATTTGGTATGAGTGCAAAGCTCTAGTCTGAGTCAATGCAAGTCTTCAGAAGGATCTGAATGCAGATCTCACCCAGGCTATGACTAATATGGTCAGCTCAGGGCCCTAGGCAAATCTCTGAGACTACACATTCAGAATAGTTACAGTTATTTTATCTCTTGCTATTATCTTCTTTCATTCTTGTTTTTGATTTATGTGGTCTCTTCTTCAGATTCAATGCCAATGGTATGCAAAATTCACGCACATTTGAAGATGATTTGATAATTCTAATAGTAAAAATACTAATGATCTATAGGTAAACTATCATCGAAAGAAGTAAAATAAGAGATAAAACTTATTGAATCCTTAGCATTCTGTCATTATCTTAAAAGAAACTCTTTGAGACATTCTATCAAATGATCAAATTGTCCATGCCTTAATACTCTGCTGCTTGTACATCTGTGTAAATTTTTTTCATAAATACTTCAGTTAAATATTTCTATAGTGTCTATTATATTCCCTATATAAATATAAGGTAGTGCTTAGAGAGTCAGCCTTGGAATCTAGAGGATCTGAATACAAATTGTACCTTTACCAAATACTATGAGTATGGCTAAGTTATTCAATGTCTCCACACCCCAGACAATTCTCTTGAACTATCAGTTCAGAATAATTACAGATATGCATTGGTAGAGAGAGTTTTATCACTAAGAGTTCCCTTTACCAATGTAATCACACAAAAATCCCCAATGCATACAGAGAAAGAAAAAGACATAGATTTCTGCAATGATTATTATTATAATACTTCCACAGTGAAATACAGAACAATTAAAAGACATTTTCTTATACATCTATTCTGACGAAACAAAATGCATCAAAAATATGTTTTTTCCAGATTATGGCATGTAACTTAATGGACAGAATATTGAGTGACTTAATTTCTGTCTCTCTGTGTCTCTATCTCTCTGTTTCTGTCTGTCTCTCCCTCTTCTTTCTCCTCCTCTCCTCTACCTTTACCTCTCTACCTCCAATTTCATCTTCCTTCCTCTTTTTCTCTCTATGTATGTGTGTGTGTGTGTGTGTGTATGCATAGAGATAATATAAAATGTTTAATAGGTACAATAGCAAAATAATGATTTGGGCCCCCAATTTAAGAGGAGTGGGAGATTTAACTTTGGGTACATTGTGGGAAATGATGCAGCAATTGCAGAAGTGCCAGAAAACCCACTCTTCCATAGCAATAGTTTTGTACATCACTACATGCTGGTGAATCAAGATGTAAAATTACTGGTTATTAACTTAAAAGCTAATGGAAAGACTCATGGAGGCAATAAGAAGGCTGACACATGCCACCAACGATTGCTTGTGTCAGAAAAAGTATGGAAGACATCATCCAAAATGTGAGGTAGACTACAGAGGGAGAGTTGAGATGCTAGGTTGTGACTTTTAAAATTCTAAAAGCCAGAGGAAGGAGTCTAGCTCATCTAGTGTTTCTTATGGAGGATGTATGGAAAGATATGTATGAGAATTATGTACAATGAAATACAGCAGAATTTCAAACTTTATCAGTGGAGAGCTTGCCCACGCTAAGATCATTGATCCATCTGTGTCTACTTAGTCACTGTGTTCCAACTTTTTTCTTACCTAAAACCAGGCTAAGTGAGTATCCAATTGGTGCTTGTGCCCAAGCCAAACCATAACCTGGTACATAAACTGCCTCAGCTGTCCCATTTATGTAACCTCCTCCAACCCAGGTGGCTGAAAAAGAATGAAACAATAGGAAATCAAGTTATATTTCTACACAATCACTTAGTCTTTTAAGTGGCCATCATTATTTTTATTCATTATATGATGCAGGAAAAAACTATTATCTACAATACAATAAGCAATCTTCCCCATATCTTTTAAAAATTTTCCTTACAAAGGTGGAATTCTGGCTATATTCATCTCAATGTTGGTTTTGTCATTTGTAAAAGGAGGAAATTGAATTAGTTGACTTCTAAAGTTTCCTCTAGCTCTAAATCTGTGGTGTTATGATTCCATTTCCCTATAATCTCCTCCAGTTTACATGTTTGCTCTCTCCTTGCTAATCATGATTATTCTGAAGTGGGGATGGTTGCAGTACAGCTGTTTGTATGTTGAATCCACAGGACTGTGCCAGTCAAGCAACATATCTACAAATGTGTATTAAGCACCTACTATGTGCTTTGCTAAGTATTGGGTATACAAATTGTAAAAATGGAAGCAACCCTCCTCTCCGGGTGCTTATGATGCCAATGTTGTCTATTTTAAATGCAAACTTCTATACTTTTTGTGTACAGGATACAATTATGCATGGGATATTTATTGATGATAATCCTTAAAATTTTTTCAGTAGAACAGTTGCCATTATGCCAGGAAAGAATAAAATATAAGCTCCCTGAGGACAAGGACTTCTTGGCTTTTGCCTTTGTAGCTCTAGTACCTAGTAGGCATTTAATGTCTGTTAACTGAATTGAATTGACTCTTGTTCCAAACTTTACTCAAGCAGTATCCTATGCCTATAATGCCCTCCTTCCCAGTCTCTGCCTATTGGCAACCTAACAATTAATCAGTCCCACCTCCCTTATTATGCTACCCCTGAGCCCCTCCCACCTCTAACTATGAAACAGTTTTACCTCAGAGGATCATAGAATTAGAGCTGGAAAAAAACTAGACTTCTAACTACCTTAGGTCAACTCCCTCATCTTATACAGACTGAGGCAGAGAAATTCCAAAGATAGTTCAAGTCCCTGAGATAGTAAATACCAAAATCATTATATGAACCTAAACCACCTGACTCCAAATCCAAGTAGGACTCTTTCTTTCATACTAACCTCTCCTAATCTGATCCCATTACATTTTATATTTATATTTTAATTTGCATCCTATTTATCTGGGTATGTGTCTTATCTTCTTCTACTCGATTGTAAGCTCCTTGAGGGCAAAGTCCTTATGTTATTTATGATTTTATCTCTTTACCTCCAAAAATAGCATGTTACACTTGATAGTTCAATAAATACTTGATGAGCAAATGAATGAACTATGCTCAGTATAGTACTCATGTGGTGAAATACGAATTACAAATCTAGGTGATATAGTGGATAGAGAGCTGGAATCAGAAAGACCAAGATCAAATCTAGTCCTAGACGTTTTCTAGGTGTGTGGCCTTGGGCAAGTCACTTAACCTCTGCTTGTTTCAGTTTCTTAACTAAAATGGCATTGATAATAGTACCCACCTCACAGGGTTGTAGTGAGAATCAAATGAGATAATATTTGTAAAATGTGCTTAGCACAGTATCTGACACATAGTAGGTGCTTTGCAAATATCATCATCATCATCATCACTATATGACAATTAAAACTTCTAAACTAAAGATTTTGTTTGCTTTTAGACTAGTTTTCCATGAGCAACAAGAAGTGAGAAATATTCCCTTTCCCTAGACAATGATTGTGCCTCTTCTTAAATCAAATGTTTTTGTAGTGTAATAGCACTGAATTAGTTTGCTGGCAAAGGCATGATGGGGCCACCTGAAGCATATCTGATGCCAGGAAAGATCTTGAGATGAAACAGTTATTTCAGAAAAGACTCAATTAAATTACACCATTAGAATGAAACAACAAATTAGATTAACATCAAACAACATAAAAATGGGTTGCATATATGAGTAAATATGCATTCACTCAGTTAACTTTTATTAAGTATCCACTATGTGCCAGGCACTGTGCTAAGCTATAGGAGTTAAAGATAAAGTAAAATTCAACTCCATCAGTAGAGAGGAGGATGATAAGAAAAGGAATGTAAATGAGGGGGACTGAAGCATCACTATTAAAACCAGTCAGTCCATAGACATTTATTAAACACCTATTACCTATTATGCAGCTAGATGGCACAGTGGATAGAGTGTCAGGCCAGATGAGTCAGGAAGACTCATCCACCTAAGTTCAAATTGGGCCTCAGACACTTATGTGGCCAAGTCACTTAACCCTGTTTGCCTCAGTTCCTCATCTGTAAAATGAGCTGGAGAAGGAAATGGAAAACTACTCTAATATTTTTGCCAAGAAAACCCCAAATGAAGTCACAAAGAGTTGGACATATATGGACAACAATGAAAATCAGACATTAGGATTGTGGTGGGTCCAGCGAGCCATGGGAAGGACCTCCGAGTTCAAGTAGTACTATTGCCTGGTAACAGATCCAATATGAAGTCCCAGAATAAACAGCATATTGGGTCACAGTGGTAATAATGGTAATAATTACAAGTGACATATATCTAATATGTATACATATATATATATACACACACACATATATGTACATGTATATATATATGTATACATATATATGTACACACATATGTAGATATATTTATACAGTGCTTTAAAATTTGCAGAGTTTCCTTTATGTACATTACCTCTTACCATGAGATTCTCCATAATCTTTTTTTTTTTTTTGCCTAGGCAATGGGGTTAAGTGACTTTCCCAGTGTCACACAGCTAGTATCTGAGGCCTGATTTAAACTCAGGTCCTTCTGACTCTAGGGACAGTGCTCTATCCACTGTACCACCTAGCTGCTCCTGATTCTCCATATTCTTGTTTATGTTTTTGTTCTTAATTCCCATGTTCATTTGTGACTACAGTGCATTAAAATTGTGAGTACAATGCATTGAAATAGATGTCACAGGCCTTTCAGTAAATCTGACCAGTGGAAGAGCCTTTTACTTTTTCTTTCAATTTTCTGCTGTCTTGAAATCTCTAAAGCTCATGATATTTCCTCAAAACAGTCTACACACATCTATCAGGCTAATTTTCATTTGGTATGAACAGGTTGAGTTTAGAATTTGATTGCAATGAATGTTTCTTTTAAAGAAAAGACATGGCTACACTATCTCCTTTTTTTTCAGCACAGACCAATTAGCCTTAGTTGCTACTGTCATCTATGTTGTTAATTGTTCAGTCATTTGTTTTCCCCTCTTTGTGACCCCATTTAGGGTTTTCTTGGTAAAGATAGTGGAGTGGTTTGCCATTTCTTTCTCCAGCTCATTTTTACAGATGAAGAAACTGAGGCAAACATGGTTGTAACTTACCTAGACTCATATAGCTGGTAAGTGTCTAAGGCCAAATTTGAACTCAGGTCTTCCTGACTCCAGATCCAGTGCCATAGAGTACCCTGTACCATCTAGCAACTTTTACTGTCACCTATACCAGCCTGCTAAATAATAAGCAACATGAGATACCATATATGTATATACACATATATATGTATATACTACATATGTATATACATATATGTATGTGCATATACACACAATATATACATAAATCACATATGTACACATATATGATATACACATGTGTATTTGTATCAGTGTTGTAAGGCTTACAAAATTTGCTTTGTATGTATACACACATATCTATATTAGTTGTAATTAATATTATTATTATGATCCAAGCTGTTATTAGAGAAACTCGAAACAAAATTTAATGAGATGAAATGTCTCTAGTTTGTTTTATTTTAAAAAGGTAAAAACAATAGCAAAATATATTACCAAGTGGTATTAAATACCAAAGATTCTTTGTATAAAATGAGAACATTTGAAATGAGTTAGTTGATATAGAGTAATATATCACCCATCCTCCCCATATTCTACCTTGACCCTAAGCCTTTTTTTCTGGATTATTAACTAATAAATAATAAGTAATATTCTTCTTCTTCACTTCTAACCCTGTTACAGTTTCAAGTTATACATTTAAGTATTAAACAGTTTAGAGAGGCTTTCATTAAACAGCCTTCTAGGGGTTTAATCACGGAATAGTGTGTTTTTACAGTTACGAAACCTGTAGCTATTTCTTCCTGGAAAGGTTGTTAACAATTGAGACTGACACCTGTACCAGCAATATTTGGTCGCACAAACACAATTTTTCATCATGGTGGTCTTTTGTCCTTTAGGCTAAAAGGAAAATTACTGTGAGACTGACTATAACTTATAATTGTATAATTTTAATTTAGTTAATATTTGATTATACAAAATCTTCATTTTAGACCCTTTGATCAAGCAATAAAAATATTTTTCTATTGAAAGTTCCTTATAATCATGATGAAAAAATGCTATCACTTCCAGAGAGAGAACTGATGAACTAAGTGCAAAATGAAGTGTAATTTTCACTTTATTTTTTTTTTTTTGCTTTTTTCAAAAAAAATACAACTAACGTAGAAATACATTTTGCATGATTTCACGTGTATAATTGATGTTACATTGCTTGCCTTTTCAGTGAGTGGGGGAGAAAGAGAATTTGGAATTCAATATTTAAAAAGAAAAGAATGTCAAAATAAATAAATAAATAATGAATTACATTGTTAAAGAAAAACAAAAACAAACAAAAAAAGATAAAACGTTCCTTATGTGACTATAAGCAATGAGTGCAAAAGGTTGGGGGGGACAAGGAATTGTTTTTTACCTTTTATTTTTTAAAAGGATAGTTATCTTCCCTGTAGAATAGATGCAGGATGGTCAAACGGTTGTATAATTATTTAACAAATTTAATGTACAAAATCAAGATAAAATTAAATCGTGGACTATTTATGTTATGAGAAAAACAGGGCTCCTGAAAGAGATCTTGATTCTTTTAATAAAATGATTAGAAACTAAATATTTCCAATATATTTTCATAACTTGGCACATACCTTGGGAAAAAATTGAACAAGAACAAATTGAGAGCCATTCTGTGATGGACATAGCAGATCAGCAGGTGCTTAATCCACACCCAACCCTTTTTATCCCCAGTAATGTTTATAGATCTATGAAGGGAGTTGTCCTAGTGCTTTAATCCTATCTCAGATACTTGTAGTACACTGGCTATATAAATTTCTGAAATATGAATTATTGTATCCAATAAATCATTCCAGAATATTTTATGCTTAAGCTAGGCAAAGTCATACATTCAAGACACAGAAATATTTTTCACCAACTCAGTCCTGGCAACATAACTATGCTATGTAGAAACACATATTGTTAATGGAATTTCAGGGCTCGACTATCAGAATTTCAGAGCTGCTATTTTTCAGTTGGCACTGGGAGAAAGAAGAAAAGACTGTCAATGCAAGGGGTATTATAATAATTTAAAATGACATTAATACACTATAGACTTTGAGATGCTGAAAACATAATTCTTTTAGTCATTAGTAATTAGTGAACATTTGTGTATCAAATACAGACATATGCACATGCTTTTTCCACTAATTTTCATTTATCTCCTGAAGTGACATTCTGGTGAAAAGGATGAAAAGCTGGACAATACTGCAGAACACAATGAATTGATGGAGAAGAGAGAATGATGAGAGTGAATTTTTTCCTAGGGCACTCCCTACTGTTTCTTCTCCTCTATTTTTATTAGCAATATATGTCTTCAATGATCTTGCATTAGAGCATTATATTGCTCACATTCAATTTTCATTTTTTCAGTAAATAAATTTTTAGTACAAGAATATTGGTTATAAATTAAGATTTCAATCCAGTGGAAATTTTTACTCTTGATTTTATCTGCTTAGATTTTTTTTAAATGACAAACCAATAAGTAATATTCCTTGCCTTTTGTCATTTAAGATTTTACTAGAAACAATATTACCCTGGTATCTACTAGTATGACAAGGCCCTGATTAGTTTCCTCTTTATTACTGGAGATTATATGCTCTACTCATCTTAATTTTGACAGCCAGGACCGATTTAGGCTTTTCATCGGTCTCTTTGCTTTCACATTGTTTCCATTCCATCAACCAAAATCAACCCTGATTGAGAAACATTTCAGTCTATGTGTTTATTCATTGATATTCTACTAAGAAATTTACTATAAAGTCAATTTTGCTATAAAATTTTATGGCTCTTAGGCTTTAAAACATTTTGATTTTGAAAAACTTTTATATAGTTATCTAGACTATTAGAACTTTACTAGTTTAGCAACAGAGAGGGCTTCTTCAAATCAGTGAGTACATGGAGTTGAAGATCAAGCTCTTTGCCTTTATCACTATATAAGTCACAAAGCATCAACACAGCTTTTCTTCAAAGGAAGCCTATAAGATGAAAGGTAAAATCTTGGCACCTACCAGTCATGGTAAATCCACCAACTAGCAAACCTATATCTCTGCCACCAACTATAATGGCTTCACTGCGTTCTTCTGAACTTCCACTGTTCTTGGTTTTCCAAGCAGCCCATATTCCCACCATCAATATCAGAAGATAGAACACAATGATGGCTATCAGTCCTTCCACATGGAAAGCCATCTTCAGCTAGAGATCTTGATTTGTCTCCCAGGTTGGCTATTTCATTAAGGATTCTAAGGAAAAATACAATAAGACTTGTAATTCATTAATATAATTGTTCTAATAATAACTGTAATACACTATTAACTGAGGAGAAGCTATGTGCACTCCAGGTGATGAATTTGATAGTCTGCATGGCTTAAAAAAGCATTATATCGAGAACAACCTAAAACCATTACTAAATATTATTGAATATAATTATAAGCTAGGGTTTTTTTTAATCAAGTAAGAATTTTTACATAGAAAATTAAGTTGGACATACTTCTTATAAATAGCTTTGATCGCTGGTGTTTAGTGGTCTTTCAAAGAGAAAGAAACAAAGAATCTTACATCAACTCACCAAGTTTATGAGAACACTTGCTAAGAATATGGCTCTATATAATTTTATAAGTAATTTTCAATACTTTTTTACCTGAGTATTCTGATGTCTTAAGTGAATCAGAACTTCACTAGTCTGTTTAATTAGTGAATTTATCAGAACTTTATGTGCAATATCAAACAAACATATATGGCTTTAAAAACAATTTGATAAATATAAACTAAACCCTTTTAGGAAAGTCAATATCAAATACACCTTACTAAGTCATTTCCATAGCTGCTCACTACCTAGTGGTGTAGAATCTCCCCACCCCCATCCCTGAAAAAAAAAAACAACTCCTCCCTCCTTCCCCCACACAGTCTTTAAAATGGAATGTAATCAGACAATCTCTCCATGAACAAAAAATGGATTTGTCTTTTAAGTTTCAAGACGCCGAAAAATATAATAAATCCCTAAAATCACCAAAAGTGTCGAATATTGAGTTAAGGGGACCGGTTCTAACTGTTCCCCTCAGATTGTTTTTTTCTTTTAGATGCCACACCTGTCCACTGTTATCAGGTTAACCAAGCAGGTTACTGAGAATACACCCATGTAGGTGGGCACGAAAGGACTTTCCTTATCTAGGAAAAAGTAGACCAAGAGAATGGCAGGGCTAAGCCTATCTCTGGAAATTAGTCAGCAAAAGTAGTTTCCTTAGATGCTCATTCCTACATTTCTACCATATCTTCCTCTCCCAGCCAGTCCTCACCCCGACATCCAGGTGCACATAGCTCTTGTCCCCTTCCAGTGGAATACTTTGATCCCATCACCTACTGCACTCTTTGCCTTTTTCCCTTTACCCCTTCCTTTTCAGTTTCTTTGTCTCCACGCCTCCCTGAGCCGGCACCAACCTGCTAGATCTCCGCTGTAATTTAGATCGATCTATCGGGGCGGAGGAGGACGGAGAGTTTGATATGATCCCCTCCAGAGACCCTTTCAAGGACTCAGGTTAAACCTGTTAAAGATGTTCCAGCCCCGCCTCAGTGGGAATCGCGAGCGTACCTCCTCTCTGGCACAAACTCCAAAAAATGTACCTAAGTCCAGTCTGGACGCGGGAACGTCCTACCTTGATCCTACCTTGCTTTTCCCTCCCTTGTGAGCCTTCCGCAGGAGATTCTCGGGACTCAGCCCTCCTCCGGGGACACCCTCGCTGGCTCCTCCAGCAGGAAAGATGCGTGCGGCCCCCCGTGGGCTTCTGGGGAGACGGAGGATGAGATTGGTAACGGCCCTGGAGGCAGCAGGAACAGCAGCAGGTTTCTTGTAGAAGCCTCCCTCTAGTCTACAAGTATCTCAGCACCCCGAGTTTCAGTCTAGTTTGTGGGTGGGGCACAGGATTATGGAATATTCGTAGGGAAGACGAGATTCGGAGGGCCGGGGTACAGCTGGGCTTAGGAGCGGAGCTAGGCTGGGGGATTCCGTGGGTGTTAGACGTGATTGTCAGGCTAAAGAAAACACCCTTTCTTTATAAGGGGAGGAGAAGTAGGGGTATTCGTCAGAGCTCGAAAGCTGGACGTCAGAGAAAAGTGAATAAGAGAGTACTTGGGGACAGCGCCCGTCTGGGCGTCTCGAGGTGGACGAAAGGTTGAAAGCAAAGGAGAGATGAGGGAAGGAGTGAAAAAGGGCGGTGTGCCAGGGGAGGGAGAGGAGAAGGAGGAGGAGGAGTCCTTGGATGATGGAGGTAGTAAAACCACTGGTGGTGAAAGAGGAGGGGGACCGTGACGAGAGAAATGGGAGATGAGGAAAAGGAAACAGAGGGTGTATGGAGAGATGGGCAAGTTTCCCTCCCCCCAGGGGGAAAGTGACTGTTCAGAGCAATATCTGATTTCAAGAAGAGCAACAAGTGAATAGGTGCAGCCTCTTAAGACCTCTAACATCCAATACAGTGTTTTCCCATGCTTGAGTGGAGAGGAGGCAGCAGATGAGGAGGACAACTTCAGATATATTGAGTCTGGAAATGGGGTGACATTTCTTCATTTAAAAATTCCCCTAAATACCTCTGTCTGATCCAGGAAAGGCATCAAGATTGATTCTCTGTTTTATGTTGCACTCACCCAGAAGCTTACTTCTCTTTTGGCTCTAGTTAGATATATTGCTCCAGCTATTCCCTAGCCTTTGCTCTTTCTTAGCAGTTGTGGAGTAGAAGCTTCAGGGTCCAATCCTATTTCTGCTACATAATAGCCTGGAACACACTTGAATAATTTATTTAACCTATCAGGGTCTCAGTTTCCTCACTTGTAAAATGAAGGAGTTGGACTACATAGTCCCCCAGGTACCTTCCAGATATAAATCTAATAATATTGGCCTCTGTGGGACTATGTGAAGAGGAGTTATGGAACCCCCAAGAACTAGCCTTTTGAAGGAAGCCTTTAAAATAAGGTTTTGGAAAGAAATTTTTTAGCTTTCCAGATCCATGGAATATTAGAGTTGGAATGGACCTTAGACATCTACTCTAACTCCATTATTTTTACAAATGAGGAAATGAGATCAGAGAGGGGAAGGGACTTGCTCCAGGTAACAGTAGCAAATAAAAATTGTCCCACACAACAGTAAAATAGAACAAAACAAGGAAAGAGAACAAATGATTAATTTTGCCATCGCTTTTAGTGACTGCAGAAAATAAAGCTACATGGCTTGTAAAGACAAATTAAAATTATGCATGTTTGTTACAAGGATTTTGAGAAAAAAATAAATGCTTATTAATTTAAAAATTATTAAAAATATAATGGGAAAAAGACTGTTTGGCCACATATCCTTGTGGATAGCATTTCATTCTCCCTTAACTTCTGTAAAATGTCATTATGTGGTGACAACAGAACGATGCATTCCTTGGTATAAGGAATTTCTTTTCACGATGGAGGTCTGCATCTGCCTAGAGTACTGAGAGGCTGTGACTTGCCCAGGGTCATTTAACCTGCCTGGGAGAGGGGTAAATTTTGAGCCTATGTCTTCCTAGGTTTAAGGCCAGTTCTCTATCCAGGACCCATGCTGATTCTTATAGGGTAGGACTCTACTGCAAAGCAAAATAATGCCAACCCTTTGATCCAATCAAAATATGTAAGTGGAATTCTCATTCATTTAATCAGCAGTTTCAGAGCCTTCCCCCCACATTATTACCATCCAAGTTTAGAAGCTAACTTTCATATCTATCTTGTGTCCTATTTTCTTTGTTCTCTGTAAAAAACAACCACCATGAGCTGAAGATAAAGTCCTTCAAGTGAGAAACCCTATGGCGTTCAAACAGAAAATAAGACAAAGGCCCAGATCCAGCATGGGGGGAGGTGATCTGGTCTACCTGATTAACCCTAATGGCTTTAAAAAAAAAATCTGAGATAGTGGCTAACTTTACTCCTGTATTAATAAGGAGCTAAGTGAGACTGGAAAAAGAAAGTAAATGCATAAGGATTTTGGCATAATCTTAAATCTGAATGCTTAATTTAAGCACTTTTTTTTAATCCATGCTTTTTCTTTGATAGTGCTATTTCAGATGCTAATCTTTGGCTATGGATCAGTTTAAATGTATTATTAAAATATCCCTAAGTCAAGGACAGAGAAACACTGTGGTATAGTACAGAAATGTCAAATATGCAGCCCCTTGTCCACTTGTGTCAGACAACACTCCTTGGCCAGCCAAAACAGATTAAAATGTACTGGGAAATATTTAACAAAATAAATAAAATACAATAAAAGACAGAAAATGTTAATATATGGTTTTCCAAGTCAACATGTAGCTTCAGAGATCTTTAGGCGTGATTTAGTGGTCCCCGTTTCTATTTGAGTTTGATATCATTGGTATAATGTATAGAAAGTTGGTCTTAGAGCCAGGAGGACCTCGGCCTTATATATTATATAATGTTAAATGCTGTAGAGAAGTTACTGACCTACAGAGGCAGAGGGGGCATATTTATTTGGGAGTTCCTCGTATCAATGAAATCACTTATAGTCCTAAGTCCACTCCCTATCCACAAGTAAATGGTAACAGAAAGCTTCAGTAAGCTACAATGTAGGCATGCAGGAGTACAAAATGATGCACAGTGCAGAGATTAGGAAGCTTGAACAAAATCCAACAACTACAACAACAATGAAACCAAATAGATGAATGTTAGTTTTGCAAATGCTTTTGTTTTCCATATAAGGCCTCTATCATAAGCAGAAAGGAAAGGAGCCACATTGACACTTACTGCTCTACAGAAACCCATCTAATTCACTTTGAGAAGCTTGACTTGCCAGTCTTCATGGGAAGAGCAAAACTTGGTGGAAATGATGACCTTGAAAGTTACAAGAAAGCCTGGTAATTAAAGTGCAAGAAAATACAGTGTTTTCCCATGCTTGAGTGGAGAGGAGGCATCAGATGAGGAGTACAACTTCAGATATATTGAGTCTGGAAATGGGGAGACATTTCTTCATTTAAAAATTCCCCTAAATACCTCTGTCTGATCCAGGAAAGGCATCAGGATTGATTCTCTGTTTTATGTTGCACTCACCCAGAAGCTTACTTCTCTTTTGGCTCTAGTTATATATATTGTTTATTTGTTTTTTTTTTTCATACAGTGGTATAGATGAAAGGTTGAAATACTCTCCTCCTAAGAGACAAGGGATTGGGTTAGATACCTATCTATTTCCAGATCTTTGCTTCTGTGAACTGGAAGAAGCTAAGTCTCTCCTTAGTCCCATGCTTACATTTTCCTTAATTGCCTAATATTATTTTATAATTTACTAATTTTGAAATTTCAAATTAAATCCAGACTGTGTAGTTGTTGGCTAGAATAGTGATGAGTGGGTTAAGGGACAAAATTTGAGTTTTGTAGAATGTGGAGCCACAAGGATCTGGTTCAGTCCCTTCATTTCTCAGGTAGCAAAACTGAGATGCAGGCAAATTAAATGACTTGCTTAAAATTAGTAGTATAAGAGACTAATAATAAAATCTAGTATTTTATAGTGTTTTAGTGCTTATAAAGTGCTTTAGATATATTATCTCATGTGATACTCATAATAACCTTGTGCCATAGGTGCTATTATTACTCCCATTTTACAGATGAGTAAATTGAGACTGACAAAAGTTGAGTGACTTGCCCAGGGTCAAGGAAGTATCTCATAGGAAGTATATTAAGTAGAATTTGAATTCAAGTCCCTCCTGACTCTGTGGTCTGGCACTCTATCCATTATATCTCTTCACTTCTATAGATAAGTAGAACCCAGATCTCCTAAATCAAAGTCCAGTGTTCTTTCCATATTGCCTTCCAGCAATCACACTGACATTTTACCATTCCTTGATTCCAGGACAATATAGCATATTTGGGGGGTGGGGGGAATAAGCTTAGTAGTTGATATTTTTGGATACGCTAGTCATGAATATAGAGGTGAAAGCAAAAATGGAAGCAGAAAGGAAAGAAGGGAAGCAAGTGAAAAAGAATGAAGGTAAAGAAAGGTACATGGAGGAAAAGCAAATTGGCATTTTTACTAAAGGTTCCATTATTTTGATTCTGCGAATATTGGAATAAATATTCAGAGTTTCAGCATTAATGCTAATTCTAGATTAATGACTTTTTTATACCATGAATACAAATCAATTCCATTCAAATATAATTGACAAGATTTTTAAAAAAGTATTTGTGATAAATGACTGCTTTTTAAAAGGTGAGATGTTACATGTTTATGTAGGAGATGAAAGAGAAATATTTTTATATTTATATAGTTTTGATACCATGAGCCTAAGATTCTAAAAATAAAGATAATTCAAGAAGAATGAGGGTCTTCAAAAATAAAATTTTATTCATCCAATTTAAATGATCTGAGTGAGGAAGAAAAGGGGAAGGCATCTGAACAGACCCCTGCATTTTGATAAAGCCAGAGAATAACAGATTGATAAAAGATATGTTAAGAATAGAAACATGTTAAGGACAAAAAAGGGGAGCCTTAAAAACAATGTTTATATCAAGAACTACTCAGTTACAAATTTGTTTCCATTTCATCTGTCAAGGAGAATAATCTTTAATCAGAGAAGAAGAAAACAAAAATGATCAAACAACTCTTGAAATCCAAAATAGGTGAAGAGTAGTAAGAGACTGTTTCTAAGTGAAATGACATTTTCCTGTCTCAATCAGTATCTCAAACTAGTGACTGATCTTTCATTAACATAATGAGTGTCAATGAGTTTTTAGGAAAAATGGAAAAGTAAAACTCATAGCAGAGTCAAGATTTGAATACCAGTCTATTTGACTTGATCACCAATGCTTTTACGACCACATTATAAAATCCCTTCTTTAAGCCAAATCTTCAAATTGTATTTTTATGGTTGTGGCTGCAACCATACGTTAGGATACCTGCAGAGCTTAGTGGGGGTAGGAAAATGGCAAATTGCTTAAATCTAATCATAGTTCTGTTGGGTCTATCAATAGTAATGGTCCTTAGATTTAAGAGGATAGAACAATAATGATTAATTGGAAGTTGGAACCCAAAATAAATAAGGCCATCATGAGGAAGCAATTGGCTATCCTCAATGATTTCAAATCACCCTGCTCAGTTAAGCTATGACCTAGGATATTTGTATGACACACTTTTCAAAGTTGTAGATGACAAATCAGTGAGATAATTATTATGTTGATTTACTGAACTGAAATCCCCAAAAGATTAAAAGGCTGGAATAGTAGAATGAAGCTAAAATAGGG